GTGAGTGAGATAGGTGGGGCCCACTTTATTTAAAGGTGGCAATTAATTTGCAACCCTACGGGTGTTGCAAAAGTCCATGGGCGGCGGTTATCACTTGACATCAGGTGAACCGCCAGCTCGTTTGCCACTTTATCATATAAAAAAAACCGACTGACACAGTGCGAGGAACGCTCTGACGTCAAGCGGACAACGCGCATATCGCATTACGGGACACGGTGGAAGCCCGCCATGTGTGGAGACCGGAGCCTAAGACGATTATGCACATTGTGTTTCACACTTTAACACCATAATTAAGGCTACGCAAAGCCTCGTTACAGCGATGCACTACAATTCCACTGCACTGAACTGTGTGCTTTCGAATGACAACTTCCAAGAAGCATTAAGCTACTTGACATGTTACTTACTTCACAAAAAACCTTACTTCGTTACTAATAGTAGTAGAAGTAGTAGTAGTAGGTATTATAAAGACGAAAGTTTGTATGTATGGATGGATGTTTGTTACTCTTTCACGCAAATACTACTGAATGGATTTTAATGAAACTTTACAATAATATAGCTTATACATAGGCTATAATTTATATACATATTATATGTATATTTATCTTTCTGTCTGAATTCTACGCATTCAGCCTATTCTACGCAGACGAATTCGCGGGTAGCAGCTAGTTAATCTATATTTGTATGTAAACTTATTGTAATCGGCGTTAAACATCTTCATTAAACAAGCAGATAATTTAGGTTTTATAGTTTTATAATCTCATTGCAATGCATTAGTGCCGAATGTTATAATTATTTACATCCGCATCATGAAATAAAAAGCGAAATTCTGCTATTGCTTTTCAATGAAAAACACAAGTTAATAATGCAAAATAAATGCCAAGCATGCCAATAAATGCCAATGATGTTTGAATAAAGAAGTCGCGTGTCCATACAGCGTGCCGTTTAAAAATTGTTCCTCTTTACATTATGTGACATATTATGTAAGTGAATGTGACAGATGGTATATACAATATGATACGAAAAGAGATAGCAGTTTATCTATATATAATAGGATTGCAATCTAATTACACCAATTGGCGTAATTTGAGTGCCTCGATTTCGGTGCGCTAGTCTCTTATCTAGGTACATTGTATTTGTATATAATATACCACACAACTTTATTTTATCCCGTTATATCTACATTATGACGACCCTAATGGCAGTGGATAGGATAGAAACTTGTCTCACGTGCCATAAGGTGTGGGTTTCGCTACAGGATAAATATCGTGTTTCTCGTGTCTGAGTGTTCAATATATCCCTAATATATTTTTATTTAAAAATAAAATAATGTTTGAGTGTTTTTATCAGTTGCCTAGTACCCACAGCCCACAGTATAAGCTTTCCTTAGTTTGGGGCTAGCTAATGTTGTGTAAAATAATATCCTGCAGCTTACTTATTTATTATTATCCATTTCAACTATAATTCTATCCGAACCGAATGACAAACACGTTGCACATTCTGCTACTAATTAAAAAATACAGGTAAAGCGTAAAACAGTAACACCAACTAAAGGCAGAAAATAAATAGGATGACACCACTAAAGGATCGTGGAAAATGGCGGGAAATAATGCGAGGCCCGATTCCAGAAACAATATATTCTACATCGCAACGCGACTGGCAATTTTCGATTGGCTACGTCGGTCGCTCGATCGTAATCCTATTCCATTAGTCTCCCATCCGCTCTTAGCTCGCGGCTAGCAATTAGCCACGGAACTATGGACTGCGCCCTCTCGGCCGCTTCCCACGTGTTGGACGGACGATTATTTTATGATTTTTTCGCGTACAATCCGTTCCGCTGGGTACGCTCGACTACGAATCTGAAGATAATTTGATAGCGTAAGAATGACGAAAAAAAAACCAAAAAATTTAATTCACTATCATTAGATAAATAGTGATTAGCTAATTTTTCTTGAATGAAACTTTCGGAAGCCCAAGGCAAGGATCAGTTGTTAAAAACCCTTGTTAAAAAAAGAGTTTAACAATTGATCGATTTTAACATAACGATTGCTGCTTTGAATGACCTTGGATGGAAACTGGCTACATGTATTTATTTCTTCGTCATTCTACTTGCACTTCATTCCATATTCAAACGTCAGTTGTGCAATCAATATCGCCAGCAAACTCGGCTTTATGATCCGTGGGGTGGTGGATGTATTACATCCTTGTAAAAATTTTCGCTGCTGGCACATCGCGCGAGTGGAATACCGTCTTACCGTATTCACCCCGTCCGAGTGTTGCGAATATCGTGATAACACGGACTACACAAATAAGTTATTTTTATTCCGTGCTTGAAACTCATTGCTTTTATAACCTATCACTTTTTAAGTCATTCAAATAATTCTTCAAAAGTCCTTTGCGGCCGGAACTAATGATAGAATAGCAACGAGTGTATACATCCATCTGTAAGCTGGTGGCCTAGAAGGAACACCGTAACATTAAAAACTCAAGGCCAGAAATCTTAATTTGATTGCGTAGTGATCTTTTAATTGGGTATTTTTTATTTGTATTATAATAATGATATTGAATGATAACATTAGAAAAATGATAGTGTAAGACTTTTTTTATTTTATTATTTTATTTCACAAAAAGATTTTTTAATGAAAACAGTAACTAACTACAAACATAATCTAAACCATTTAAAATTGTTTTTTTTAAGATTTTCTTATGTTGCAACCTACGACGTAATAATTACCGTTACATCAGGTGTTTACAAAACTACCTATAACAATAATGGCATTGTATTAAAATAATAAAGGACTACAAAAGATGAGCCCCAATAACTAAATAAAGTGTTTAAGAAATTATGACACGTGTATGAAAAGAAAGTATGTGCTAGTGCATTTAGTATACATTAAAGAATAAGAATAAAGAGTTACTAATAATATACAGCAGCCAAGCAAGGAATAATCCGACTGTCTCTCCCTCCCCAACCCGCGTCTGGAACAGCTGACGGCCCCGACAACAAAGAAATCACACCGACCCACACAAACAAGGGAACAAGGTGCACACTGCACAATAGTTAAGCATCAACACGTAATCAAATAAATCGTTTTGATTTACAAGATTGCTTCTTTCACCGTCTTATCATAGACTATCAGTTTTATTAATGATTATAAAATAAACAGGTGAAATATGGCCCCGTTACATGTTCCTACTTATTACTTAATGAATACTTATTACGTGAAAGGTGATTGGCATGAACTTAACAAAGGGCATACTTGCCTTTCTGTTCATCCAATACACGCACGCTCTCGGAATGTAGCACTATAGAAAACAAAAGCCTTTCCAACAAAATATGTCTACCCAATCCTATTTGGAAATTCACGGTTCCATCGCAGAAAAAGTCAATCGTCACTTGAGTATTTCACTTTTTGGTTGCTATGGTACTGGCAAATAATTCGACACAAGTTGTTACAAGAATTTAATGTTGTAAATACGATTTACAGTCTTTGTTTACAATGTTACGGGTTTTATTGTTGTATTTACATCACTTTTCAGAGGCCTGCGAACGTGATAATCGTTGCACTGCCTGCGCAATTTATTTGCGCTGCTGCGTCAAAAACAATCGGTCGGGGAACGAAACGACCCAAGCGAGTTTGACTCGCTGAGAGCCCGTTTTTTGTCTCAGCCTCTAGCGTAGATTGCATCGTGTTATCTCTCTCTGTCGTATGACGTTTCAATAAATGTTGCTGTCTCTGCGATATACTTACTACTAGTTAGTTATCAATATCACTGACCAAACTATGGACTTTCAATTAACATATCAAAATGCAATACATACATAATTTTTATGCTCAAAAATAAATGTCTTAATTGATTTATAAATATTTTGGTACGCTAAATTGTATATTGAATAATACCATGGTATGAACATTGTAAAGAAAACAACTAATTTGGTAACATGTTATACGTACACCTTACATGTATAAATTAGTGATGTGCCGGATCATCGAAATTGTAGATCCGGATGCGGGTCCGGATCATTGGCTAAAAATCCGCGGATACGGTTACGGATCTTAACTTAATATCCAGGAAAATTTCCATATTAGTGTATCCACCGTCCTTGATTTTGTGTCTAATTCGAAGGATAAATTAGATTTTAGTTTTCAGAATTTGATAAAAAAATTGTTTCAAATAGCCACATTTTAGGGATCAAAAGAATAAAAAAATTCCTTACAAATTTGGAAAATGAAGTAAATCTCACAGCAACCACAAAAAAGTAATAACGACAAACCAATGATTTTTGCCAGTCTAGAAAAGTCTATGGCTAACATGTTAGATGGTGATGATGATGATGAATATTAGATAAGAAAACTCATTTGCTCATACAGTATATGGCAGAAAAAATATTATCAAGAGAACCACGATCCACTATAGTATTGGCAGTTTAACGGTAAAATGTATGGTCTTAGTCATACAACTCGACTGTGAACCTGCCTCTTGCGCCCGCGTGTGGGTTTGATGTACATCGTCGAACAGTGTCTGGGTGTTAATAAATGTATAATATGTATTTATTTACAAAATAAAAGTTTGTTTATCAGTTTTCTAGTACTCATAGTACAAGCGTGTTTATATATTTACAAAATAAACAATCAATTACAATCCTACCAGTTATTATGATACCTTTTTCTACCAGTACCAGTAATCATAATCACATACATTTTGTTTTTGTTTTTATGAATTCGCTAGTGCTATGGAAAGGTAAGTTTCTAAGTCTGTTTAGAGAATACCATACCAATTTCCATCAAAACTTTATTGAAGAAGTTAATTAATATATTGCGCATAGATTTTAATGTAGAATTATAATTAACATTGATTGTGTTGTTAATATATTTTTAAGATAGATAAGGTGGATTATAAATATGACATACAATAATGTAAAATGACATGAAACTAGTTAAACAGGAATTACCTATAAGTTTATTAATATATCACAAGTTATATACAGTTTAAGAGAATTATGTTGTATTCTTTTGCCAGAACTTGCTAGAGTTGCGGGTAGATTTTCCTTTGCCAGAGTTTCTTTTTGGAGCAGAGTGGGTTTCAGTGCCGCCGCCGGAAGCTGACTCTTCATTCTCAGCTTGAGTCTTTAAAGTTTTCTTGATATAGAGAATCTGAATGAAAAAAAAAAATATTTTGTTATCTATCACTTTTTTATGTAGTATGTTTAGGTTTGTGACAAATTTGTGATCATTTATGCTTATAAAAATAGAAATTAATACAATTTATTAAGTGTGAGATATGTGCAATATATTGTATTCATTTCTTAGAAAAATTCTATTCAAGTAAAATGCAAAATTCTTGATGCATGCCATAGTTCATACTCTTGCTAAATAACACTATGGTCTCGTTGATGTTTAAAAAAAATGTGGTGATTTTAGCAGCAGAATACAGTAGCATGAAAAAAAAGTAATTTTCTTGTTATATTGGATAAAAATATAGACCCCAATATTTTTTTAAATACTTTTGCTATTCACAGGATTACTACAGATTGTGCATTTTCATAGAAACATGAGCTTTTGTTTGAATATTTAAAATTTAAAGATTCATCATGAGTGCAGAGACTAGCATTAAAATAAAAATTAATCCTTAAATCAGATTGCTTGGTTTGGCAGCTTATAAAATATGAATTTATATTATTATTTTAAACATTCTTGTGTGATTTTATAAAGTATTTGTAAAAATGTCCGCAGTCCGCAAAAAGCAGTCAAAATATTCTAATCCACAAGGAAACAAAGTTTATATCAGACCTCTTGTTCGATACCCTGTTGGTGTCTAAGAGATTTTTGTTTATGATGATTAGCACGCTGTATATGATGATCTACTGAGTTCAATACAGCTTCACAAGCATTACACCAGTCTGCCAACACATCTGCAATGCCGGAAGCATCTTCCAGCCTAGCATCTCTACCTAGTGCTACATCAACCTCTACTAGCTTGCATTCTTGGTCAAGTTTCCCGTGAATTATATCTATAAAACAAAAAAGACCAAATGTAGAAAATGTATCAAGTGACAAGATATTAGAACACTAAAAACTGTTGTGCAGATAAGTGACATTATACTTTTACAAAAGTGTGCTCATCCTAGCATCAAGATACATACTGATGTCAAATGGAGTTGGCATCACATTAATATCAAGTTGGATTATTAGAAAACTATTCCTTACATATTATAAATGACAAAGTAAACTTCAAAATTTGTGTCTGATAAAGCTTTGTTTAGTCCATTGAATTGATGCACAAACATCAATCAAAAAAAAGTAATTGTAATATTTTTAATACACACCTGCATAAATAGCTTCTATAATCAAATCTTCCAAATCTCGGACATTCTTTATGTCCAATTCTTTCAAGAGCACACTGTATGGAATACATTTTTCCTGTGTTGCCAAAGTTGCAATTGTCAAATGTTGTAGCTTTTTACATTGTACTGGAGTGAGTTCCAGATAATCAGATTTGTTCTCCAAATATTCTTTGTATGTACCATAAGCAAATAGATTTAATGTCCTGTAATGTGCAGCATATGGTCCAGTTTCCAGCTGAAAAAGATTTAATATAGTATTTACAATAACAGTTTATGACTAGCATATTTATTCAACTGGTTAATAATTTTAGGACAATATCCATCTTTGTTATTTATTGAAATATTTTCGAAAATCTTTAAGATTAAGAAAAAAAAAATAATGTAAGTAAACCATCCCAGAACCAACCTCAAGTAGAGAATAGTAATTAACAATTTCCCTAATTTTCATCATCATTCAATCAGTTTTCAGGAGAAATAGCAGCTATTGACAAAACTAGAAGCATCATTAAATTACTGGACTACAAACAATGAGACATGATTCATTAAACTACAAAGAAAATAAAAAGCGAGAATTATAAGAAAAAAGAAAAAGAACAGGCCATTTAGGAATACCTTTTTTATAATTACAAACAAAATAAGGATGCATTAGTATTGACTAACCTCTTTAATATTTGGCATTTCTAACAGTTCACCAAATACGTGAACTCCTGGAGCTTCTAGAACTTGCTTAATAAGTTCCGCACATGCGAAACCCTTTGCACCCTTAGCTAGAAGTACAAATTGCTCCAGGGGGTGGTTTGTAGAAAATGTTAACAAAGATGATGGCTCGTCCCTATCCATTGACATTGGATTCATGTTGGATAATAAACGGCCCTGTAAGCAGTTATTTAAAAAAAAACTATTAAAGTACAGCTATTATGCACAAATTCTCAGACTATAAATCTGTACACAATCGTTTTCCAATTGTTATAATCAATAATTACACTGTACTGTACGATCAGTAATCAATTAAACTGTCATCTCAGAATCCAGTACAGTAGAGATACTCTATGAACTGTCATTTGTTGTCATTCATTTAGAATTGCAAGTTGCAAGGTCTGAAAAACCCACACAACAGCAGTCACAGATAGAAGGTTTTTCTATGGAACATTACCATACTCGATGTTAAAAATCATGAAAAATGCTGTTTACTTAATTTCTAGGCTTATAAATAACATATATCGTTAGATATGAACAAAAAAGCCCTTAATCAGGTTACGCTAGACAATCTTCGGCAAAATAAAAAAAAAACAATCTAAAAAGTTCCCTAATTGGCACAAAGAACAATTATCATTAATTTAGATGATAAGTATCTTCTTAAAAACTTAAGTGACCATAAACAATAAAATGGCGTCCGGTTTTTTGTGTGTGCGATAAAATTATTGTTTTCGTTTATAGGAAATGTTCAGTTGAACGTTATCGTGTTTATGTTGTAATTCCTAAAAAATAACAGGATGATGTTTTACAGCGCGTTCAATAGGTTACAAATGAACACCCTTACAATGGGTTACGTGCGTGTCAATTTCGGTTGTAGCGTCCTGTGCCGCCTTTTTTATTAATGAGTTACTCATTTCAGCAACATTTCTCTTGATTTTATGCGTAAAGTCATTAAATATATGTTATTTGACATGTTGTGTATAATGTGTGTTTAACACAAGTGTTTATGCGGTGTCGTGTTTTTGATGGGTGCGTTTTGCATTAGTAGTTGTGAAAGCATACATGTCGGTAATGGACGAACTGTCATGAGGTGTAGTGTTTACTATCGGAACTGTAAATTTGCGTTCGTTGGTTTTTAGAACTAATTTGTAAAGATGTGTATGCCAACGCCGAGCAATGTCTCTGGATTCGGTTATTCATGGGGCTTCACCAGCTCCACCGATCTCACGAAGGGCGAGGTGGAGACTCCTAGCAGTTTAAGTTATACTTTAGGAAATACGGTAAGGAAATCTTGAAATTGGAACTTAATGCCTGTTAGTATAGAGTATTTTATTACAAGCAAATCATAATTTATCATACCATCTGTGATAACATACTTTTTTTGTATCATTAATTTAAAATAATTTAACTTTTACTTTTTAATTTTTCAATTTTTATTTGGAATTTGAACAGATCAAGTAATCAGTTTATGAATGTTATTCAAATAAGAATTCAAAGCTATATTATCAAATTTACATGGCATTTAAAATGTAAATAGAGAATAATAGTATATAGGTAATTTGCAAATGTCAATAAATTTAATATTTTACTTCGAAGTTGTGAATTATAAATTTTGGTAAAACTATTAAAATAATAAATAAATATTTTAAACCATAAATACTTAAGTAAAATGTATTACAATAAATGCGTCTACTATTAATACACTCACAATTATTAGACTTAGACAATAGAATAGATATTTTTTTATTATTGTTGTTATATATTTTCATTCTATGACTTCTACGAGGGATATTTATGAAAAGTTACTGCTTATGATTTTTCAAAGTCATAGTATAAATTCTGATTCTACTCGGCATTACAATTAGGAGCAAAAGAATACAATTTCTTACCTTGAATATATTTCCAATTAAATGATTGTAGTCTTATCAGAATATATAATTACTTATTGTTTGTTTCAAAAACATTTTACCTATCTATGTTTGTAGGATCTATTTTGATTGTTATAAATAATAACATTGGTCATAAATATAAAGCCAATAATTGAAAAAGCAACATGGTTCCGAAAATAAATGATGGATATCTTATGCCGACCCCACCTAGTGTGGGATAAAGATGAAGAATTACATCCATTTCAACAATTCAAAGCTATAATCTCAATTAAACAAGTGCCTCATTGTATCTGATTATCAATTATAATTAGAGCTCTATGCAGGTCAATAATGCAATCTTGGAAATTTAATTATCAATTATTTAATTATTTTTTACATAATATAGAGATATAACTTATGTGTTATTGTGTAGAGATTATAATTTCATATTTATAATTACAAACATTCATAAATCTGAAGTAATATTTAATAAATTTTAATTCAATTTCCAGGTTTCACCAGAAACTACTTTGACTGTTATGTCACATAAGACACCACAAGTGCAGGAAAAAGTTGGTACGGTTGCAGTAGCAGTATCCAATTCCGCAGCACAGGTCACAAGAGTAGTAGCCACTGGTACACCGGTCACTGCACGGAGAATGTTTGTGGTTAATGAGGCACCTGCACATACATTAAACAGGGTCTCACAGCAAAATCAGACGGCCACAATACAAAGTAAGTAAAAATAAAGGTAACATCTACTCATATTAAAATTTGTATAAAAAGGATGAAAAGATTTTCATAAATGTTATAATTTAAAGTAGATCTTAAAATTTTCATAGTGCTTTAAATTTATGTGGTTAGACAGACATGAATATACATAGATGAATTCATCATTAAACAATTGTTATAAAGTTTTCAAAATTGAAAACTATTATAAAACAATAGAAAAATTAAATTTCAAATCGAAACTCACTTAAGTTTTTGGACTTGAAAAAAGAAATAGGTAGAGCAATATAATTTAAACCACATTTAAACATGTTTTGATGTGATTTTGTTCAAAAAATATTCTTTAAGGCTATTTCCTTTTGTTCACATTGAGATAACTTTCATTTAATATTCATTATGTTTTTAACATAAATTTCCCATGATTTCAGCTACCAATCTGTCTGCAAAACCTTTTCTCACACCGATCGGCCCTATCCAATTAACGGCGGAAGAATGCAACGAAATATTGATGAAGCGAGCACTCCAAGCGCAGGGCATAGCCACACCTGTCATAGATGCCTCCCAACTGAACCATACTCTCCTAAATGGTAGTTTGAAAACTATAACAGAGGCAACCCAAACACAAGCAGATACAATACAAACAACTACAGTACATCAGCATTTGTTACACACCAAACAAGAGCCAGGAACAGCAAATAATTCACCTAAAGTAAGTATTGCTCAATATCTATGTATCGCTTATTTAATAATAATAATTGGTCACTAAGCTATTGGCTTTGGCCCCAGTGGTTGTGGGTTCAATTCCCACATGGGACAAGTATTTATTTGTTTGACCCACAGATCCATGTCAACAGATAACTGTTCTGATTCTTAGTGTTTGTTCCCATGAAGAATTGTCATCAGGCAGGCAGCTGATAATAAACCTAATCAATACATTCAATTAACAACATGATTCACATGTTGATCTGACCCCAACTAGGTGCTTTAAGGGCAGGAGAAATTTAGGTCTAGATGTAAGATCTAATGTAAATACCAGTTCATGAAGCGACTGATATGTCTTCTAACTGTTATTTACTGGATCTGAAATCAAATTTCCTTTAAAAAACTCAACATTTTTAAATATATATGTATATATATATATACCTATTTTGTAATATATATATAGATACCTATTTTAGATTTATTTTGTAATTGGGGTAGCATTATGTGAATTGATAGTTATCGTCTTTCACACAAAATATCCTTTATACACCATTACATACATAGTTTTCTACATTGTCTTCAATAATAAGAAACAATGTAAAGCATAGTGGCTGCTACCTCCATGCGAAGTTTACGTTAGTGGGTTTGAGTTGCATTAGCTAAGCATGCACCAAGTTTTTCTTGTTTCAAAATATTTTTTGGTATAAAACTTACTTTCTTTTTTCAGTGCATATGTATAATGACAGTCTAGACCCTAGTCTAATTTAAGCGCACTTTTGACCTATAATAAGCGCGCTAAAATTGCTTCGTAAGATGAACTTGTCCCTGCAGACTTATGTAAATGCTTGTTATTTGTTCACGAATGTTCTACCTCAACTGGGGATTTACCCCAGCCTCACTGAAATATGAATATATATGTATATTTTTCCATTCAATCCTGTGAGGTATAAATACGGCAATTCAATTTTAATTTATTTTCCATTATAATTTCCTCCCCTGAAAAGTAACTGTAATCACACTGTTTTTTCGAACTTTATAGATACATGCAAAACTGTTTTTATCTGCCTTTAGTGATATCTAGCCTTAATTGAAAAATAAAATTCATTCAAAAGAGTAGAGTCCGTGTTGTATTGTAAGCGATTGGCAGGCGATGTATTCGCAGACGGAGCTGCTGAACAGCGCTGTGCTGATGCCGAGCGCGCCGCCCACGGTGAAGGAGAGGCCCTACTCGTGCGACGAGTGCGGCAAGTCGTTCCTGCTGAAGCACCACCTTACAACGCACGCTAGGGTGCACACGGGTAAGCTATTTCAAACATTTTGTAAGAAAAAAAGGTGGAAAGGACTCTTGCTCTGCACTTGCAAGTCCCCTAATTTTATACTTAAAAGTTTTGTGCACTTACATTCTTCTCTGGACCGGTGTAGTTTTTTAATGTTCAATAAGAGCTTGAAATAGGTCTATATTGAATAAAGACATTTTGACTTTGACTTTATTTCGGGGATCTTTAACTGTAGTAGGGCCATTCAGTATTCTTTGTGTTTCACGAACAGGCAGGTCCTCTGGGGATGTACGTTTCTCTTTTCCGAACTGGTAGTTGTATTTTCACAATCAATATGTGAGTGTGTGTTGCTTCCATATTGAATAAAGATCATCATCATCATCATCATCCACCTACATTCATCGAATTCCCACACATTTGCACGGGTCGTCACTCCATCTAGTCGGGGGTGTCCTACACTGCGATGGCCATTACGAGGCTACCACTCAAAACCTTTCTTCCCCATCGGTAATCGCTTCTACGAGCTATATGGCCGGCCCATCGCCACTTCAGCTTGATAATCTCCTGCATTGAATAAAGATAATTGAATTTAAATTCTTACTAATATTATAAAGGCGAAAGTTTGAATGTATGGATGGATGTTTGTTACTCTTTCACGCAAATACTATTGAATGGAGTTTTAATTAAACTTTACAATAATATAGCTTATACATCAGAATAAGACATAGGCAATAATTTATATACATATTTTTATGTATATCTGTCTTTCTGTCGGAATGTTACGTCTTCAGCCTATTCTACGCAGACGTAGTTGCGGGTAGCAGCTAGTTTGATGATAACGATGTGAACGAATGTGTTTCCAGGCGAGCGGCCCCACGTGTGCGCGCACTGCGGCAAGGCGTTCGCGCGGAAACACTGCCTGAACACTCACCTGCTGCTGCACTCCGCCGACCGGCCCTACAAGTGCCACGAGTGCAAGATGGCCTTCACCCTCAAACACCACCTGGTCACACACTCGAGGGTGGGTCTCAACTGTCGCCCCAGTATGTCGCAACTGTCGCCCCAGTGCGTCTAGGAAAATTATTGCCTTCACCCTCAAACACTGGTAGGGCCACGCAGTAGTGCCTTTCTTGAATGGGCAGGTCTATCCGGGTAAGCACCACAACCTTACAGATGACCGGTCTGAAGTGATAGTGTTATATACCTCAAACCCATGGATTCGGGCTAGATCACCAGTTCTGGGTTTAATGAAGCTTTAATAGACTCGGGACTAAAAGTGTTAACACCAGTTAATACAAGACACAAGAAGACATACATACATACTCTCGAAAACCATAACCATCCTTCTGGTGCAGTCGGTTAAAAAAAGAATTAAAACCGAGAACCGGACACCGAGGAGCTATCGAGGCCTTGTGTATTAAATGAATGTTATCACATTATTCAGTGGTTGTAATGGTTTCAATATGTCTACGTGTTTCAGGTGCACAGTCGCGGGCGGCCGTTCATGTGCGGCGAGTGCGGTCGCGGGTTCCCCTTGAAGCGTCACCTGGTCACGCACAGCAAGTACCACGCCGGCGAGCGGCCCTACGTGTGCAGCGATTGCGGCGAGAACTTCGCCCAAAAGGTGACAGATAGAATTGCTCGGAAGAAATCAAAATGAAATATCTTTATTCAACATAGGAGTATTACACTCGCTTATTGATAGTGAAAATACTAAATACACACACCTCTAAAAGCTGCGATATCCTTAAAACTTTCATCCCCCGGCAGGAGCACCTGGTGATGCACAGCCGCTTCCACGGGTCGCTGTCGCCGTTCGTGTGCCCCGACTGCGGCGCGGCGTTCGCGCGCAAGTTCCAGCTGGTGAACCACGGGCGCGCGCACGGCCGCGTGCCGCACGCCTGCCCCGTCTGCGGCAAGGAGTTCCTGCAGAAGCGCACGCTCGTCGCGCACATGAAGTGAGCGCCCCCTTGCCGCTGCCGCCTGATGGGGTTCGGATGCATCAAAAGCACCCCCGCCGCCTCGCTCGGCAGACTTAAAAAAGCGTAACACTTCCACTTCATGTCGGTTGCATGTGAGGTCGTGGTGCGCCCCCTAGTGCCTCTTGTGTTGTACGCTGGCGGCCGAGCTGGTGGTTCACCTTTGCCTTATAATGAAGCGGGCCCCCGCTGCCACGCTCTCCAAGCTCTTGTGCCTCTTATTGGGGCCTCTGCGGCCGAGCTGGTGGCTCGCCTGATGGGGTTCCGACGCATCAACGGCACCCCTGCTGCCTCGCTCGGCAGACTTAGCCCGGTTCCTATATTCAACGAACGGGGGTTACATAGCTTCGTAACTTTCATAACGACTTGCAGATAAAAGGCGTGTACGCCCGGTTCCTATATTAGTTGCACCGCTGCACAAACGAACGCAGACACTCCCACTTCACGCTGGTTTTATGTGAGGTCGTGGTACTTACCCGGACAGATATGCCCATTTGAAAAGAAAATTAGCAAAGACTGTTGCGTCGCCCCTACCACCATTAGGGCCTCCTCCAGCTCTATCTAATTCTATCGTGATTGAGTTGTTCTATGTCATAGGGCACCTTTCCTACCTGCAATCTTTTTTTGTCATCTTTGTCTTTCTCGTTTTATCATTGTTTGGAATATAGGGGTCCGTTCTGTTAAAGACTGGAAGTGAGCACCCATCCACTCTTTATGTGGGAACACACCCCTGCATGTGCACCAGGTGTTACTTCGCAAGGCACCGCTTGTTACATAATACAAAAACGCGCCCTTCCTCTAGCTGTACTTGTAGCACGGAGTTGTCTCAGTACGCAACTTATCCCGAAGAATTACCGCGGCTGTGCAGAGGACAGACATGAAAAGGCAGGGTGGGTCGCTTTTGTTTCTGGTTCCAAGTTCGATGCCCACCCTGATAATGGTTGGCGACGAATGTTCTCGATCTCTATAGATATCGAGACCGTTTCTTTGGTTTTCTATCTTCTCGTATAGATAAAAATCTTTTTATGTATGTAATGAGGCCACAGTATGTGGTTTTCTGCCCATTACCCACTTAGTGACTAGTCAAGTGGACTTTTGCACTGAATCATAATTTATTAAAATTTCCTAAGGTGTTCTTAAGCATCTTCCTTATAATGCATGCATGTACATAATATGCAAAATTATATTTCAGAATCCATACAGGAGAGGGTGTCGTTGCGTGTTTCGAGTGTGGCGAAGCCTTCAAGAGCAAATCTGAACTACAGCAACATTGTAAAATAACGAGACACTGTTTGACCACCTCGCAAACGCAGCAGCAGCAGCAGCAGCAGCAAGCTCAACAACAACAGCAACAAGTACAGCAGCAGCAGCAACAACAGCAACAACAACAACAGCAGCAACAGCAGCAGCAGCAACAACAACAACAGCAGCAGCAGCAGCAGCAACAACAACAGCAGCAACAACAACAACAGCAGCAGCAGCAGCAGCAGCAACAGCAGCAGCAGCAGCAACAGCAACAACAGCAGCAACAAGCTACTGTGATAAAACAAGATGAGTTTAAACCACAAATTGTTCAGGTGATTATCATTGATATTATGATGTTCTTATGATGCGTTTGCATCTGTTTAACCTTGAATCCTAATGTTAGTAAAAGCATTAACGGTAACTCTAAAGTAACTGTCATGGTACACATGGTCAGGCTAAACTCTTTACAAGCAAGGTTTTGACCCTCAAACAACTTCCTCATAGAACCATCCAGATTTTTGAACACAAAACCCCGAAGACATTAAGAAGTTCACCCATCTTTGTAAATGATAGTGGATTTGAGATCTTTTTCTTGTAGTTCGCCTAACACATGTTAGAAGAACTACAAGTTTTAGTATTTAACTTGACGATTTTAGAGTTCCTAATCAAAAATATGTCTAATAGTGAACTCCCTCTAAAAACTGAAAAGGGTTTCAGAACTCTGCGGGGAAGCATCGAGAAGCAATATATATACTATCAAATGAAATGTGCATTTTAAATTATATACTCCTTTAGCTAAAAGTTAATATTCTAGATAAAACTTTTCATTGCTGAGATTGCACGTAACTTTTAACACGACAGTAGGATAAGGAACTATGTGTTGTAACAATTCTTTGTTACAAATATTCATTGTTGAATGATATTTGTAAGGTCTTGTATGCTGTAAAAGATGCACCAAGCATTGCTAAATATCCAATAGAACGAACGTAGACAGAGGTTAAGATTGTCACGCCGTGAGGTCATCAGCCTCGCATTGTGGAATGCAAGTAAAAGAATAAAGAATATATGTAATATATTTACAGGTCATTGGTGCTGATGGTCAAATCCTAACAGAGAAAACCACTCCGGGATATGCATGTCCTGAGTGTGGATCATGTTTCAACACAAAGGTTTGTTATATTTACTTATTACATAAATTTTTAATTGTAAATTCTAATGACTCGTTGGCGTTCTTGCCTAGCTAGCTTTTTTGGCTTCGGCGACGGGGCTCGTGGGTTCGATTTCCACACGGGACAAGTTAACTCACGGATAATTCTTCCGGATCTGGGTGTTTGTTCCCAAGGTGGTGGTAGAGCCACGCAACAGTCTCCGCTGTTGCACGTATGGGCAGGTCTCGACGGTCAGGACCAACGAAAACCGGCGTGAAGAGGAAGTACTATGCTTCTGCGTTTCGTCTGGTGAGTGAGGTAGCCGGGCCCACTGTCATGAGGTGTTGCAAATATCAATGGGCGGTGGTTATCGCTTAACATCAGGTTAACCAGCGCTCGTATGCAACTTTCTCACATAAAAAAAGGTTGACCTCACGCAGGCGGCCGCTTGTAATATCACAGGCTTACAACGTGATCCACACGTTGTGCCGACCCCACCTAGACTTGGATACGGACAGCAGGACGATGATATTAACGTTAATAAAACCGGCCAAGCACGAGTCGGACTCGCGCACGAATGGTTCCGTAAAGTTATCTATAAAAACTAAAAAAAAAATTATGTCGTTGTATGGGACCTCCACTTACATTTTTTTAATTCTGTATGTTGGGTATTTGTTGTTATAGCGGTATCTGGAAAGCATCATCAATGTGAAAATGTCAACTGTCTAACTATCACGGTTTTTGAGATACATCCTGGTGACAGACAAACAGCCATATTTAACGAACGGCCGTTGGTTACATAGCTTCGTAACTTTCATAACGACTTGTAGAAAAAAGGCGTGTGCGCCCGATTTCTATATTACGAGGCGTTATCCTCACGTTCCTTTTATCTACAAGTCGTTATGAAAGTTACGAAGCTATGTAATCAACGGCCGTTCGTTGAATATAGACTTCGCCGTCTGTCTATCTGTCATCAAGCTGTATCTGATGAACCGTGATAGTTAGACAGTTGAAATATTCACATTAAATATTTAGTAAAAGCGTCCCGCTTCACCCGTCGGGTACGGACGGCATATAAATAACGTTTGTTACGCTGACCGTACCGCTTTCCAGGAGGCGCTATCGCTCCACCTGCGGCTGCACGCGGGCGACCGCACCTGCGTCACGGACCTGTGCGCGCTCACGGCGGCGCTGCAGCCCGGCCTGGTGGCGGCGCACCACGCCTCGCACAGTCAGTGGCCGCACCTAACTGCGTACAGTCGGCGCGACGATTGCAACGCGTCACCGGCCGCACGCTACGCCGTAATGAGCGGCGGCCGGTACAGTCGACGCGGCAATTGTAGTGTGATGTGCTGGCCGCACCTGTCGCTTCACGATTGATTGCGTATATGCTGCGCCGTAATGAGCGGCGGCCGGTACAGTCGACGCGGCAATTGTAGTGTGATGTGCTGGCCGCACCTGTCGCTTCACGATTGATTGCGTATATGCTGCGCCGTAATGAGCGGCGGCCGGTACAGTCGACGCGGCATTGTAGTGTGATGTGCTGGCCGCACCTGTCGCTTCACGATTGATTGCGTATATGCTGCGCCGTAATGAGCGGCGGCCGGTACAGTCGACGCGGCGATTGTAGTGTGATGTGCTGGCCGCGCCCGTTGCTTCACCCTTGACTGCGTACAGCGCCGTACTCGACGGCGGCCGATGCTACGCTCAAAATTGCTACATGTTTAACCGCTGACTCGCCACTTTTTTATATTGTTTGGAATGAGCTAACTGGGGCTCTCATTAAAGGTCGGTACCGCAACGGCCACTACTCCGGTTTTTTATTTTTTTTATTTTAAAAGTTGCCAAACGAGCAGACGGTTCACCTGATGTTAAGTGAATACCGCCGTCCATGGGCATCTTCTACATCCGAGGGTTGCAGATGCTTTAACAACCTTTTGCAAATTGAGATCCGGCCACCTCACTCACAAGACGAAACGCGAAAGTATTATACTTTCACTTTACACCGGTCTTCTGTGAGGTCGTGGTACTTACCCGGACGGGCCTGCCCATTCGTGCAACAGCTGAGGCTGCTGCGTGGCCCTACCACCGTATATCAGGTGTTGATGAGGTCTTTATAGGGTAAGAGAAGGGGGGTATTATTGTATTACAACCACATATATTTGTAAGATATATTTTAGTATAACATCTCGCATTATATAAGGCTTTCTTTTTCCAGATCAACCGATACAAATTATTTCTTCCAACCCCAATAATGTTGTACATACGCAAGTTATAGCAACGGTGAGTTTAATTAATTTCGGATTCTATTTTATATAATTTTTTTTGTATCTTTTGCTCAATGCACACGTTTTTGCATAATAGACATTTTTTGGTATCAAATATAGTAATTAGGAATTTGTGGATTGATTTTTCAGAATCATCATATAACTCCACCACGGCCTAAGATTCACTTTTGTGCAGACTGCGGGAAGGGTTTCGCGGCAAAACACGGTCTATTCGCACATCACAAGAGGTGAGCATAAGGAAATCTTATTATGGACAAATTATATCATGTTAAAGAAAAATGAAGCATTTCACTTCATGTTGTGAAATTAATGTTGAGACCATCATAACTTAAATCTATTAAGATTGGTCTTTTTGAGTTAAGAAAATAAACAGTGTAATAAATAATAGGAAAACTAAATAAATTAAAAAAATATATTGTATGGAACAATCAGTTTAGCAAAAACCTAAATATTTTCATAAAATAGACATCAATGTGAGTTATAATACAATAATAGCTTTAGCAGATTCTGCGCCAGAAAATCGTCCATTATATTTAATGGCTTATTTTGACTAGCAAACTGAAAGTGAAATATCATTCTTCAAGCTTTTGTCACTTTGTGATGAAGGACATCAACCATAAAAATTTCTATCAATCTTTTTATAAACTGAATTATTTAGAACAGTGCTTTGGATTATTATCTGTGGGAAATATAAATTCATTTACAATGAATTTGTTTAACCAAATAACTTGAGATCTAAAAGTGAAGTTATTGAAAACGTTTATTGTTCACAGGCATCCAGATGGCAGTTGTACATTACGAACTCACGTCTGCGACCAATGTGGCAAAGCGTTCTTTCAGAAAAACCACCTCATGCTACACCAGAGGCAACACATGGACCTTCCGCCCAGATCTGTGAGTTCTGCTAATTTCACATAATTTCACAAAAAAAATGGGTTGGTCTGGCAAAATGTCTTCTCGATACTTTGGACTCAATAGAGGCGTGTTATTGGTGACGCTAATTTGTTTAGAACCAATTTGAGAAATCTCATACAAAGGTGGGTAGCTAGGGATTTTACAGTTGCATTTTAGTCTGCAATGCAGCTGCTAGTATCGAGTCCTTCCATCCCTTGCCATCATTGGATAAGTAAAAGTTCGGTGGCACTTCACGTACTCGAACCAAATGCATCATCGATCATTTTGCGTACAGCGAAGTAATGGAATAACTTAATGGCGTTTGCTTTTAGTCCCATTATACTGTGGGCGTTTTCAAAGCTAGGGTGAATAGGCTTTAACTGAGCTAGTGGGTTTATAATCTATTGCCCCATCGCCACATACCATAAGGTGGGATTGTGGTCAAGCAGTAACATAAAAAAAAACTGAACTGTTATAGATGCTTTCAACGAATTGGCGTTGCCCATTACTCGACTTTGCTAGTAAACAAAAAATTTACTTGTTAATTAACATCTTTATGTAGGTATATTTTTCCGTCCAAAAACCACAGCTTCCTTGTAATATGTGTATATTTTATTTCCTTAAGCCACTTAGAGGCTACCCAGCTATGTGTCGAAATATAAAAGACAACAAAAATCTCCCAATTTATCTTCTTAAGAACCTGGGTTTTTAACTACCATTCTATTAAATATTCGGAAAAGCTTTGCGCTAAGATGAAAGACCATTCATAGTGCAAACCTGTACCTGTGGGTTGGCCATTTCTAATTGATTTCGCCGTGACGTCACAGTCGCAGGCGCAACAGCAGGCGACGCAGCAAGCGCAGCAGCAAGCGGCACAGCAGGCGGCGCAGCAGGCGGCGCAGCAAGTTGCGCAGCAGGTGCAGCAACAGGTGCAGCACCAGCAGCAGCAACAACAACAACAACAACAACAACAACAACAACAACAACAGCAGCAACAGCACCAGCAGCACCAGAACAGCCTCGAGATGGACCAGCAAGACCACCAACAGCCCACCCACATACAAGTGGTGAGTGCATAACGAAGCGAATTGTGGGGCCCATTTGTTCTAATAGGCTCGGGGGCCAATTTGTTCTAATAATGTATTCATATTACTAAATTGCACTTCTTGTACAAATAAACCTATGAAAAACTGGAGTGTAAGATTTAGTAAGTTGAGGACTATTGGGGAAAGTAAGTCTCTATAAATTGTGGATGTCAAATGTAACAGCATACTACAAGATTATGGATATAACTTTTAAGGAAACATAGTGAAAATCCAGTTTATGCTAGTTTTTTTAAATCAGCACTAACTAGTGTGCTATACTAAAATTAATAATATTGAAATTAGTTATCTTTATTAGAAACTTAACAATTTCACACTATTTGAATTAAATATTTTCTGCCAGTGTTGTGCATCGGCTTTACTCTGTGTCGATATCTCAAATATTGTCGTATGTTTTATTCAATGCGCCTCCTTATAGAAATACATATGTTATTACTTACTGTTAAGACGTGTCAATTGTCAAAATAAATTCCGTCTATTGCTGGAAACGAGATAAAATACTGTTATTTTCGTTTCGTAAAACATACTATAAACCAAAATAGCGTAATATATTTTTCATTTAGAGTTTTCGTACATACCATTTTAGTTGGCATTGTCGTGTCCCTTTGGAACAGGTGACGAACCGGTCCGGCCAGGTGATAGGCAACCAGATCGTGGTGGGCGGCGTGGGCGGCGTGCAGAGGCGCGTGCTCGGCTCGCAGCTGCACATCATCGGCCGCGACGGGAAGCCGCTCACCGCGCAGCTGCCGCCGCACAAGCCGCGCCACCACAACGCCGGGTGCGTTGCCGTTCTAATTCACACCGCCCGCACACTCACACTACCCACACAACCACACTTCCCACACGCTCATATTTCCGACACACTCACACTTCCCACACGCTCATATTTCCGACACACTCACACTTCCCACACACACCACACTTCCCACACTTTCCATGCTCTTTTAGCTGCATAAACCTTCGCACTTTGCCCTTAACACTCAAAACCATTCAATCTCACTTTTGTTCCTTCATTCAATCTTTTTTATATACTCTTTGTTGTACTGTATTTTCTAAATGTAGCATCATTTTAAATTTTCTCCCATGTGATATACATGTAGCAAACCACCGATATTCGTACATGTTTAGGACACATTAGCAATAATTATTTTAAATGTCAGAATAACATCATTTATAAAGTGTTTTCTTGATATTTCAGTGACGTTAAAGAAGTGGGCGGCCTGGTGCTATCAACGGGCAGGGGGACTGGCCTTATAAAGTACGAGATTTCCATACCTCCTCCGACGTCCGTAGTGCAAGTGCAACAGTTGGATTGAGTAAAGCATGAACCAGACGAACACGGGCTTGTTTGGCTTAAAAAGTGAATGCTGGCAGAGAGGTAGAGACGTTTGATTATTGACTTTAAAAAAATAAATAGGGCTGCCACAAACAATAATTATTTTTATATGGGAATTAGTTTATTTGCTTTTGAAGTTAACAATCTTCATATATACATTAAATAAATAAATTGAATTTTGAGATATGTGATGTCACAGCTTTGTGGCACATTGCTTTTTTTTATATTCAGTAGTCAAATGTCATGCTGCCCAACCATGCCATGTGCCTTCAAGCACTTTAAAGACTGTGCGAGTGCAGCCAATTGTATGTTCTGAAACTCTTGTGAGTGAAGTGATAATTGGTCCAAAGTCAATAAACAATGCTTGAAATGTTCTTATGGTTCTAAATGTGTGAACAATCCAATCCAGCTATAGTTGGAAAAAGTTTGTATAGAAGTCCTCATTTGACGGCTGGTCTGGCTGCCCGCTTTATTTTAGTTTACTACTGTTTCGTCAAGAACCAATGGTAATATGTTAGGGTTATTGTTCAGTACAACAACTGTCAACACATCAAATATTTTTCTTTTGTGACAAGTTGTTCCTTCTTAACCTTCCAAATGATTAGGTGATTTCATACCATAATTATTATTGTGCCTACTGTGACTCCAAGCAAAACACTGTTTAAAAAACATTGTTTATCATTTCTACAGTTCAAGAAATACCAGAGATTATAAAAAGCCTATTATTTCTTTATTTTGTTGTAAATATAGTGAAAAATGTCTGGAGTGTGTGTATTTCTTGTCTATCAATAGCATGATTATAGGTCCTGTTGCAATAATTCGGCCCGAATCTATTTTCCTCCTCTATTATATAACATAAAATAGATTTATATAATGCCAATAGATTGGAGAGCTTTATTTGAGCAGTCATCGCCTTCAGACAGCGTTAATATAGATCCAGAATTTTGTTTGTACTGAAAAGGGTGTATGTAGTTCATTAGAGAGACTTAATAATTGTAACATTGAAACTAATCGTTTTCATGGCAATAACTGATTATAATGGAGCGTTGTATTATATTGAGATGTACAGATGCCCTAAAATTTAGGGCATTGGTTTTGTTTGTAAAAAGACAGATAGGTCTCAGTGATCACTAGATTAGTGTTAAATTTAGCTGTATAGATAGTTTAGTGTACATATCATGACGTTTTTGTAAAGGCCCCGGCCGTGGTTTTTGTATAAAGTAATGTACAATCTCTAGTTACTAGTATGCTGGCAACATCAAATTGTGCTATCTGACATCTGTGTATATGCCAGTCATTTAGCACAATTTGCCACATGGCCCTTTACGCATTTAAGTTTCGTATATCAGTTTAATTATTATTTTTTTTCTAATATAATTTTACCGTCGCTTCGGAGTAGATTCTTTAAGTACATAATGTTGTTTAAACATATTTTAAAACCTACAAGAGTAACTGCAGGTTGGATATGTGTAGTGCAATCGGGAATATTTTTTTTTTTTTTAGATCTGACAAAATAAATGCGTACTATGATTAGATTCGCAAGTTTCGCCCTTCTAATTACGTTTTAGGTTGTTTCATGATTTTTAAATGTGTTGGATGTGTTCCCATTTAATTTCTATTCGTTTCACTCGATGAAGTTTCACAAGAATGTTTCAATATATTTTCCCATCAGATACTATTTGTGCAGAGGTGGTTTTATTGTGGTTTTACGTGCCTTGTGTCACTGACACTATTTATATCTTCGATGTTTTGTGTAGGTATGAAAATACCATGTGTCTCATATTTGGTGTTTGAAAATTATGTGAATTCAAAGCAATACGGCCTTCGGCACTTTCGTGTACTCTTTAAGTCCGTCAAGTTTTAAAGGTAATGCCGGAAATGCGATATAGCTTTTTTAACACTGTTAAAAGCTATCGTTTCGTTTACTTCGATTTTCTATATCTCCCAAATGAAATATGTTTAATCATGACAAAGAAATACGCAACATTATCAAGAAAATATTCTTGATAATGTTGCCATATTTCTTTGTTTATGAAGCACAAACTATATGTATTGTTTTGATACACCTAGAGCTTATGAAGGCAGAAAAGCGGCAAATAACAACCCCAAAGAAATTTATTAATGTTCCAAATTAAATTTAAAAAAGAAATTGGTTGTGTCAATTAATCATTGTGTAGTTTCTAGCCAACTGACATTGTTTTGTTATTATAATTGGGAATGTCGAATCATAACAATGCCTTTGATTATAGAACATTTTACATAGAGCTTTTAGATATGTCATATTAATATGTTTTCACATACAGGTAGTCTAGATGGGGGAGCAAAGTTTTTACGTCCAAAATGTAATTAATTTTACTTCTGAAGACACGCACTTGGTATTATAACAAAGCGTCAAGATTTATTACGTTATATCCTTAAAAAGCGAGTATAGTGGCGGGTTTACTAGGATGTGATTGTACGACAGTTGGTGTTTTACTTGTCAAATTGTGACAGGTGTCAGTTGGCATACAATTGAGGCGCGCCATTTTTAAAAAGTAGGTTCATTAGATGAACGAAAAATCGGAGTCAGCCCAAAGCTACAGTATTATTTTTATTTGGCATATATTCAGATTCGATATCTATATTGCACTATTGTATTATATGATTTGTATGGTTTTCCTATACTTTGGATCTTACAAGTTGTTTGCCATCTACTTATATTGTAAATACATAGCGGATATCTATAATTTTTTATATTAAATGAAAATATACATATTATAATCATGCGCTATTTTTATTTAAAATTATGAAGTCTGTCTTGATCCTATCTCACTTAATAATATTTATGACCTCGTCCCATGGTTGAGTATTCATTCTTATATTTAAGACTTGTAGGCACCTCGTGAGAGTACATATTGATAGCTCAGTGTCCCGGCGCTCGATTTTATTTCAGTATACTCGAGCAACCAGAGTTCAAATCCCAGTGCCAGCACCAATGAAATTGTTAATTTTAAATGCTTACTTATTACGTGCTGAGCGTACGTAGAAGGAAATCGTCGTAAGGAAATCGACATATTTTCGAAACAACAAAATATTTCGAAGAAATATGAAGTCTGTCAATCCGCATTGGGGTTGCGTAGAACTATGCTCTGAAATACCCTCTGTACAGAGGCCTTTGTCCAGCTGTGGGGCATATATGCAGTTGCTTTTATATTTATGTGGTTTATTTCTATGTTAACCATGATATATGATACACTTGTTGCGCCGACCACACCTAGGCGGGATAAGGAAAGGACGCAGGAAAGGACATGCAATATATTGATATATACTTACAGTTGGATAACTGACCCTTTCTTCGTCTACTCTGTAGGTTTTACGTGATCGTTATCTTACAAGAATAATTAAAGCGATCACAACGGTACGTCTTTTTCCGATTAAATGGTACTGAATTAAGAATGTCAACAATTTACCGCGAACTCGTTGACATTCTAATACTGTGAAGGCGTGTGAGTCGATGACTCCGTGGCGCAGTCGCCAAGGTATTGGCTTCGGCGTCGGGGGTCGTTGGTTAGATTCCCACACGAGACAACTATTTGTGTGACCCATAGACAATTGTGTCGGATCTGGGTGTTTTCAACTTAAGATGTAAAACGTCCTTACAACACAAGATGATGTTATCCTATAGTAAGGGGCGGATGTTTTCTAAGGGAAGTTTTGCCCTAGTAAATACGTTGAATTAGGAAATCTACGCCGGTCAACTACCAGGAAATCCGTTGCTTCAATGAAAGACACAAAGTGGTTACTAGAGCGGTCCGTCCGGCGTTGTGCAAAAGTATAAATGTAACAATGGACTTCTGATAGTCTTCACTGAAACTTGCAAAATATGTTTGAATCGCCGATATCGTTGGTACGTTACGAAATATAAATAAGAAGTACCTCTTTTTCCCGTTGCGAAAGGTAATCAAACATACACGTCTTTTTTTCTTCACATAATCTGGTTTCCATCCACCATGTTCTTCTTTTCTTTCATGTGGATTTATAACGAATAAAATGGTGTTAGTGATGTTTGTGATGCATAATGGCAAGGCGATAAATGCTAATATGGCAGATAGTCGGAAGACAGAAAATTTAACTTTTTTTTAAGTAAAAAGATGGCATGGCATCCAGCGTATAGCTATGTTGCATTTTAAAAACTTTGCCAATTAAACCACGAAACCCATGGCTGTTGCAGATAATAGTCTTAAGAAGTTCAGAGAAAAAGCGTTGCAAATACTGTGAATGCATTAACCGAACGTGGCAAGCGACCTGGTGGTTCACGTGTTAAACGATGACCGCCGCCCGTCGACATTTGCAACACCCGTTGGGTTGCAGATGCGTTGCCACTCTATAACAAAGTTAGCTACGGCTGTCTCACTCACCAGACGAAACGCAGAATTGTAACACTTCCACTTCACGCAGGTATTCTGTGAAGTCGCGGTACTTACCCGGACGGACCTGCCCATTCGTGCAACAGCCGAAGCGGTTGCGTGGCCCTACCACAGGCAATATAAAAGACTGTAGACTTTGGTCGCTAATATAATTAAAATGTTATTCATTTTCCAATAATAAACAGTTACAAGGTATTTATAATTATTACCATTCAATTAGATTTAGTTTGTTATGTTACGTTTAACTCACTTTACGTTAACAACAAAAATATAACGCAAATTATTTCGAGGAAAACACTATTATTTTGAACAAACTGTAGGCCGCAATCCAATACAAATAAAGATAAACAAAATTCATCGTCATGTTGTACTTACAAGATAACTTGTGACTTTGAACCTAACGTATGAGTCATAAGTTTCAAAATTGGGTATTAGCAATCAATTTCTCAGTCGCTGATTCTTTCGGCGCAGTTGACACGTCAGTGTCGAGCCGTCGAGCCAGACTTCGGCCAGTTTTCGTCTCGCTCGGTAATACTAATATTCTTCTATTTTTTCATCCATTTCGTCCCCTGTCCAAGTGAATTAACATTAATGGTGTGTACCATGTACTTGACAGAATAATATTAACTTAGCAAATTAAGTCTAATGGTAGGTATGTGATTTACTGGGTATACTGTCAAGTACGCGAGTTACTTATCATGTTTTTTTTTTTGTGAGAAATATTGCTCATGTTAAAGATTATCCGTTAATAATTAATTGAATTGTAATTGTTATTTGAAAGAGCACTTAAAAAAAAGATAAGTTTGTGAATGTCATTCGCCAACCAATCACAAACATACACGTCTAGATTCTTACACCGGCATGCGAAAATATTTCAGCGACACTATTTCAGATACATTAAAATTAATGTTTTCGTCGCGAACCACTGCGCCCTTGCTCTATATATTGCTCGGAAATATCCTAAAATCGCAGAAAACACCAGGCACGCGTCATTAATACGAACATTAAAAAAAAGGATTATTCGTAAACGGATTTTGGCGCGCTCAATCGATTTAGACTATTCCTAAACAGGTAGAATTTGTCGTTTTTAAGTGTTAGCTTTGTTTTGAGAGATTATTTTTATTTTTGCATTGTTAAATAAGCAAAGTATCATGTAGGTGATCCAAGTATCATCCACCAATCTAAGGGGTCATAACCGATTGGTGTAGTCGATTGTGAACCTGTCTCTTACGACAGAAGGTGTGAAATTTAAAGTTTTTCATAGTGGTAATCTCTACACTTAAGATAAAACATTAAAATTTTTAGAAAAAGTGCGAAAAGATTGTCGTCGCTGTGGGAATCGAACCCACGTCTTCGGCATTCGCGGCCTGACGCTCTAGCCACTGAGCTAAACGGCTGATAGCCACAGCGACGAAAATCTTAACGCCTTCTTTTACATTGTTATTTAGCATTTGAAGCAATGCTTGGCGCATCTATTGTTATATCCCTTCCAGCATACAAACAATTTCGAATATCGTTTAACAACGATAACTTTTAGCCGACACGATAAGCCAACGATAGCATTTGAAGCCGTTTAGCTCAGTGGCTAGAGCGTCAGGCCGCGAATGCCGAAGACGTGGGTTCAATTCCCACAGCGGCGACAATCTTTTCGCACTTTTTCTACATATTTTAATGTTCAATTTTAAGTGTAAAGATTAGCACTATAAACAATTTAAATTTCTAGTTATACTTGACTTCAACTGCTACCGTTATTTTCAGGTTTTACACTTCTACGACATGTGCGCTATTATGATTATTGAATCAGTATTATACATTTCTATGTAATTCTCACATTTTTTTCATTTTTCAACACAGGCAGACAGACAGTCAGACAGACAGTTTATTACGACAAACAAAGTTAAAACGACAAAAAATATGGAACGTTCAAATATTATAATTAAATTAGATAAACTACATATATACAATATACTCGAGTTACCTGAGTTCGATCCCCGGTGCCGGCACCAATGAAGTTTTTAACTTTAAGTGCTGACTTGTCACGTGCTCCGCGGTGAAGGAAAACATGGTGAGGAAACCTGCCTATTTTCGAAATAATAATAAAAAAAATATTTCGAAGATATGTGAAGTTCGCCAATCCTCAATGGGGCCGCGTGGTGGACTATGCCCTGATACCCTCTGTATAGAGGAGGCCTTTGCCCAGCAGTGGGACATGTATAGGCTGTTACTTTACTTTAGACTACATATAACAAGAAGTCTTTATCTGAGCTCTCACTTCTGAAGGGGTGCGCAACACGTTTGCAAGGGCGGTGCCCCACATCAAATACAATATGGCCGGGGTAAGAAAACGTGACCGCATCCTCCGCTGACTTCCATTCGGAAACCAAACGAGTGGTAGAACGAGTGCTCACAAGTCAAAAATCGCCCCTCCTGTCACCGCTTATATGTACCTACTGACAAATCCCCAATTTAAAAGTCTGAAGTCAACGTAGCCCTGGCCCTTTGCAATTGAGGAATAGGAACGGTCCCCAGTTCCACTACTTCTATAAAAGGCAACGGAGACCCTATCGTAACTAAACTGGGATTCGAATCATTGTGTGAAATGCGCACAGATGTCAACTCAGCTAAGCCCCCACCCCTACCGTACAAAAATTGTAGCAGACGTACTTATACGAGTGACGTTGTCCTAATTTTATAATTTGTCAAATAAAGAGAGCTCTATTTTACGTGTGTATTGTAGTGGCTTCAGCACTATGATATTTCTTACCACATATTATTTCTGCAACAAATTAACCGGAAAATATTTGTACAAGTGAAATTGTTGTTATTTCGGTATGACATAATTCCAACAATTCATCACTGTAGTCTCCTCGAATAAATGAGAAAATTCTTTAAATACATCCATCCAATCTTAGCACTAAATATGCCTTATGATACATGTAGATTAAGAATTCCGTGGCTTGTCTTTAGAATTGGACGCTAATACACATGCAAAGTTATATTTCAGAATGCTCACGGGATAAGTGTCCTCGCATACGAGTGGCATGAACACTTCAAAAGCAAATCAGAGCTACATCAGTGTTATATAATGGGACACCATTTGAGCACCTCGCGACCGCAACATCAGCAGTCTGAACAACAACAGTTGCACGATCGAAGACAAGAACAGCAGCAGCAGCAACAGAAACAGCAACAGCTGCAGCAGCAGCAACAACAGAAGCAGCAGCAGCAACAGCTTCAACTGCAGCATAAACAACAACAGGAGCAGCAGCGGCTACAACAGAAGCAGCAGCAGCAGCAGATGCAGAAACAGCAAAAACAACAACAGCCGCAGCAGCAACTGCAACAAAAGCAGCAGCAGAGACAATTACAGCAGCAGTAGCATCTAGAACAGAAGCAAAAGTAGCAGAAATATCAGGAACAGCAGCAGCAACTACAACAAATGGAGGTTAAGGATATTGAGCCTTAATTAATGTAGGTAATAAAAGTTCTCATTTGTAAATTTTTGATGTACTTACTGTCACTATATTCAAGACACTGTTCGGAAAACATTGTTCAAAAATATTGTTCACGGTTTCTACAGTTCAAGAGATAGTATACATTATAAAAACTCTCACTTTGATAGGAACGTATTGAAACATGTCTGGGCTGACTTTACTTTGTATCTAATTGAAATTTATTGAATTGATTCATATCGCAATACTTCGGCCCTAATCTAATCTTATCAAGGACCTCATGTATTCAGTCAAATTAAATAAGATTTATATGATTCTTATATATTGGGAGCTATATTTTAAATAGTCATAGTAACTGAAGTTTGCTGTTATTGAAAAACAGTGTACGTATAAATGTGTTAGGGAGTTAATAACTTTAACGGCGACAGTAATTGGTACAATAACTGACTATTTGAACGTTGATGGAGCTTTAATAGTCTTCTGACTGAACGTGAGAAAAACAGTTGTATAAAGATAATCGAGCGTTTATGGTGAGATGTAGAGATGTAATAAAATTTAGAGCGTAGGTTTCTTTTGTATAGTGGCAATCTAGGACGGTTTCAGTGAACAATAATATATTAGTGTTTATAGCCATATAGATAAATTTCTAGTGTACATATCATGAAGTTTTTGTAAATGTCACGGCCACGGTTTTTGTATCAAATAATGTACAATCTTACTAGTCTACTAGTTGGCTAGCAACGTCGAATTGTGTCAAATGGCTTTTATATATATTCTGATCCTTTGATTCCTTTTGCACTTACGCATTTAAGTTTCGGATATAAGTTTAATTTTGGTGTTTAATGTATCAGGTTACTAAAATGTGCGTAAAATGATTCAAATCAAATGCAAGCGGAAATATTACATTTATTTTGAAATCTGCATTTTGCATTTTTTGATTGGACAAACAATTTACTTTAATATTTGGATTTTTAATAATGGACATTCAATTGGTGCAGAGATTTTATTGTGATTTTACGTGCCTTGTGACACCTGATATCTACGTTTTATTTATCTTTGATGTTTTGGATATGTAAGGAAATACGATGTGTATCTCTTATTTGATGGATCTCTATGTTTTGTGTGAGTTGTTGGCAAGCGAACTGGCGGTTCACCTGATGTTAAATGATAACCGCCACCCATTGACATTTTTTTTGTTTGCAGAGATTTTTGGTTGCAGATCCGTTACCCTTAAGTAAAGTGAATAATTAAAAATATTATGCCCTTGGCTCGTTTGTGCTCTTTTTAAGTCCGTCAAATTTTGAAGTTGTGATGTAGAACACAGAGAGCGAAAAATATAGCAGCTGTGTCGATAGCTTTTTAAGTTATAGCCGTCGAATGCGATTTTTTATACCTTCTTACCCAAACGAAATATTCGTATTCATATTGGCATATATAATTCTTTGGCATTAACTAACTTAATGAATTGTCTCGGTACTACTAGAAATTAATCATACAAATCGTATAATACCTAAAGCAGTACTTTGGATCTTTTTAGTTGTGTGCCTTTTATTGTTCAACTTAGCGGAAATCTATTATTTTATATATGAAATTAAAATATACATATCATAATAATGCGGTATTTTTATTTCAAAATGTTGAAAAGTCGCGGTTACTATTTTTTTGTAATTGTTATAGTTTTCTTTTTATGATATTTAATGCCCTTTTAATTGCAGTAGCAAAAGCTAATCAGAATTTTTACGAAGGGCGATGGATCTCAGTATAAAATGGGATCTCTGTAATATAGCAAAAAGCATTTTGTGCAATTGTGCGGGAAGTCAATGGATGCCGATGGCTCAGGATCGTGCTTCGTGGCGGTATGTGGGGGAGGCCTATGTTCAGCAGTGGTTGTTCAATCTGGATCTGTTTTGAGTCCGTTATTTTACGTTTTTGCAACCCACCGCTCCAAAGGAGTTATTCTCTAAGGAGAAAGTCTATTAAAATTGTAATACTTTTTAAACCCTAACGGAGATAGGCATATCCAATTCTATCCACGTTTTACCAAGTCTACACGGTGAAATTGTATATTTAGTTGAAGCATAAATTCAGTAAATATTTGTAGTCGTACTCAGTTATTGCACTCTAAGCTTCATTTCATTACGGGACAGAAAAAAATTTCACGAAGAGAAAACATTTGAGTATATCTTTGATTTCATAATGTGCAGTAATATAAAGGAAAAAAATCATCCTCAATAGAAGAAATGATATAATGAGATGGATTATGATGATTTCCTGATGATGACGATTGATGATAATGATTTTAAAGACACACTGCAAATAGTTACGCTTCAAACTTGAATAAAAAGTGAAAAAAAAAAAAAAACATTAATTCTTAAGTACGTAGGATTGTAAAGTCAAATGATATTAGGAGTAATGTAGGGGAAGTGAAATACGGTGGGGTCATTTGCTGATGCCGAATGAGGCGCGTAATGGGCCCCTGCCAATGGAGCCTTGGTAGCATCCAGTTACTTTTACAGCTATAAAGACAAAATTACGTGTTCAAGCAGAAATTTTATATGTACGTGAAGTAAGAAAAATTGTTGAACAATTTTTGACGTGGATTTTTTTTGGAATTAAGTTTAAAGTGCAGGCTTCAGTATAAAAATTCCAAAGATTAGTAGATTTAAGGTGAAATATGAATATGCATTTAAAAATATCTTTAATTCTTACATAATTATTAATAACTAGATTCCAAATTAGAGAGCAGACAATAACAATAATTAGTACGAGCAATCTAGTAATTCCGCGAACCAGACACACTTGCTAAACGAATTAAGTCGTGGAAATAAACAAATTGTCTCTCAAAGAAGCGCCGAGTGTTTCAAGGCAAAAAGCCGACTAGATTGAGGAAGGATGGGGCCGTGCCGGGGGAAACAATTAGACGGTTAGACGGTTCAGTTTTTCCCCGAGCACTGACGACTTGATGAGATGCGACGGGATGAGCGAGCCCCGTTGATTGATGAACGCAAAACTCGTTATCGACACAAATCGTCCCACTTTTTCCTCCGATTGACGTCGTTCTTGCAACGGGTCGACATTAAAAGAAAATTTCTAGTTTCATTAAATTATATTTTAATTATGTTCGGATTTATTAGATCGAAAGCGTGTTATCGAAACGGGTCGACATTAAAAGAAAATTTCTAGTTATCATCTTCATTTCTAGTTATCACACAATCCTTTGGATTTATTAGCCGAAAGCGTTACGGAAGAGATTTTTTTTCTTGTATCTTTTTTTGTGGCGCAGTTGCTGAGCTTTGGCTTCGGCGGCGGAGGTCTTGGGTTCGATTCCCACATGGGATATATTTGTGTTGTTCCAGATCTCGGTGTTGGTAATGAACTTCGACCTCAGCCAGACCGTAAAAGATCTATCCATTAAGAATATGATGCACACAACACTTGTGCAGACCCCGCCTAGGCGGGATGTGATAAAAGTGAAATATGGGGAATGGACGGTAAGGAGAAAGAGAAGAAGAATGTATGTAAGAATTCCCCTGTGGTAGAGCCACGCAACGACCTGTGCAAATGTGCGGGAAGTCGATGGATGCAGGTGGCTCAGGATCTTACTTCGTGGCAGTCTGTGGGGGAGGCTTATGTTCAGCTGTGTACTCGAGCAGGCTGAAATGATGATGATGAGAGCCACGCGAGAGCTTCTGCTGTTGCACGAATGGGCGGGCTCGTCGGGAAAGTACCAGTACAGTAGTTATATAGCGTGTCGTTACCATCGCGACAATAAATGAACACACGTCTAACACTACTTGCCAATCATAAAAAAATACTAACGTTAAACAAAATCCATAATTAAAAATAATATTTTTCAAACAAACTAAGTAAAAAAGAAACAAAATTTCTAACATCCTATACAATTCGCGTCACAGCGTCGTATTACAAGCCTCTCCTTCTAACAGTATGTTTATTCAACACATTCATGTGCTTTGTGACCTTTACAAATGAACTTTACGTTACGCTTTTATAGGTAAGGTTTTTCTAAAATTCTTTGTTTTAGAAAATTTAATAACTCTGTATAAATTGATGTTTAAAGAATTTAAATGTTTAATACAACTTTAAAAAGTTATACCCTATATGCGTGTTCATTTATTGTCGCGATGGTAACGACACGCTGTATACTTTGGCGTTTCATCTGGTGCGTAACCGCGGCCCACTTTTTTTGACGATCAACGCTTCGGCAAGACCCTCCGGTGCTGTAAATGTCCATTGGTATGTCATATGTATGTCCATGTATCCGCTTAACATCAGGTTGATTACCTGCTCGCTTCACAACTTTTCACATAAAAGAAATGTTATCAAGTTAGTTTTATTCAATAAAACCCGACCTAGAGATCGTAAGCCTATCAAGGATAGGCAAGGGATTATTATAATAAATACATAATTTGGGAAGTCTTTCTACGCGGCGTTATCTAGTCTCGAACTAAGCAACGCTTGTACTTTGTTTTTAGAATTTTTTTATGCCAAAAGTTCGCAAGCGAGCTATTAACACCATGTTAAGTGATTACCGCCACCCATAAACAATTGCAATACCTGAGGCAATGCAAATGCGTTACCAACCTTTGAATAAGTGAGCCCAAATTAAATGCAAAAGTATAGAGTAGTTAGTATGTAGTTACAACTTGTAAGTATAACTACATACTAAATGCTCTACCCCACAACGAACACTTTTATACACCATAATCATGTCAGATTTGTGGTGTCGTTTACGAACTTAACTTTTAAATTGTCGAAATATTCTCAAAGGTCAGATAATAACTATATAAACCGTCCGCGCTGCCTACAAATTAAACTTTCTTGTATCCCAGGATTTCATAGTAGAAAATTGAGAGGATTTAAACCTTTTCATGCCGATAAAGCGAAACAATTTCCAACAACTTGTGTCATTAAAATTCGACAACGTCCCGGCTTTGAATAATTACTTCTCGAAACGTTTCGAATCAAGATTTACAAGTAACAGTAAGTTATGATCAAAAGGAGCGTTATAAAAGTATTTACGTTTAAATTTGAAAAAGGGAATCCGTTCTCATACGGAGTTCTTTTACTCTAGAGGTCGTTGTTAGATACTTTTTAAAGATACATAGATATTTTTAGGTTTAATTTGACATAACTTCGAGAGCCTTTATTCCCCCTCCCCCCCCCCCCCCCATTAGTGACATTCTACATACTTAATCCTTTTCAATAAAAAAAATCTTATATTATTTGGTTTATCATAGGACGGGGCATCGTCGACTTTGGTATGGCAACATGTGCCAAACATGTCTAAAAACTGAGAAACTTAAGATCAATTCACTTATTTTTAATACGTTTAACATTATTAATTATCACGCTTGATTTTTTTTTAAATAAAATTTTTGTCTCTTTGTTATTTAATTATAAACTGAAGCTTAAACTAATCATAAACTATAATCAAAAATTGTTTTACAATAAATAAGGGCTAGTTAAAAAATATGAACATCACGAAAATTTAGGATGAAATTGGTCATCGTTGTTTAATCAGCTTGAGTTATAAGAATAACGAATTAATTTATACAGGTTCACATATGCATACTTTGCTTTGTGCTGTGTTCTTTTTAAAACTTTTTTCTTATATCAACAAACTAAACTACAGAAGAGATTCCTTCATGTGTCTGTTGTGTTGAAGCATGTTTTTTTTAATTGTCAATGATTTCGTAAAATGATTAACTTTATATACGTCCTTAATACATAAAAAATATTGGATTGGAGAAAAATAAGATTATATCCTAAGAAAAGAGCAGTTCTGCCAGCGTTTTCACTACGCTCCACTTCACTACTACTCTTTTATCTAGTCCGATAAAAGAGTAGTAGTACTTCACGAGAACAAAGTTGGGATTTATAACATATTGAAGCGAAGCCAATTTCGTGAGGGTTCTAATTAAGCGATTTGTTCCCCCTGAATTAGTGCCAAAACGAATGTCCTTGTCCCATATATAACGTTTCCGGCTTTTGTGTTCAATGCTATCGACCTCCTAAGGGGAATTAACACAAACATATGACAGAAAAGCAAAAAAATAAAAATAATTGAGTATCGTAACTCATAGGGACTGCTGGTTTGAGGTCTTACAATTAAGGGTTCGAATTTGCCTTATAGTACGGTTACTAATGTAAGACAATTTACGACTTACAATTTAATTTTTATTTAAAATACTTGTGGTGTTAGTACGTAAGTACCCAATTTACACTTTAAAAATATAAATACTGAAAAGTCCTTGGTACCAGCCTTTAAATTGTCGCCCTCAAAATAGACGAGTATAAACCAATATAAAATTAATTCAATCATTATACTTTGCATGTTTTAAACATTTGGAATGATTCAGACATTTACCGAAAAATGAAGAGCAGTTTATATATAATTCTTATGAAAAATGGTGTAACGTTATTCGGTCTCTATTCAATATTTTAGCCTTAGTCTTAGAAACATCTAAACTTGTGAAAATCTCTTTTGCAATGTGTCTCAGCCTCATTGCTATATAACTATGTGCAAAGCTAAATACAATATAATACTAGTTTGCTATCCGATACTACGTCTTTGACAAGCGACTGAATGCAAGTAAACAAAAGCGGAAATGTTTTCGTATCGAATTTCGCAGACATTTCACTTCTAACAAGAACATTCTCTACTAAGCGTTTCTTGGTGTCAAATTGTGTCGGGAAAAATGTGTTACGTAATTTTCTTTTACGGAGTTCCGTAAAATCGGACTTGTATTTAGGGATACAAAATGTATTTATGTATTGCGTTGTTTTTTTTTAAATTATAGTCTTGACAACTATTATTCATATCATTGCATCTTTCCTGGAAAATTTATGTAAGTGTTAAAAAATATATTCGATGAACGATTTAATTAAATAGTTGATCATTCATGCCTCTCGAGTTTAGAAACTATGACTTGACTATGTTAAATTGCTTACCTAGTATATATCTATTTTATTTTTATTGCATTTTATGCAATAAAAATAAAATAGATATATAATTGTTATGTTTTTGTTAATTTATCTACAAAAGAAAATTACACTTAAAGAATTTTTTGCTAATTTTTTGGCGACGTCTGTAAGCAGTTGTTTTGGAGAGTTGGTCCTCGGCCATTTCGATTTTGTTAGAAATTTAAAATAATCGGATAGTCCGATGCAGGGCGATGCTTTTCTAATACCAGTGTGACCCAGTTGCTATGCTGATAGAAACGTAAACAAAAAGCATAAGAGGGTAATATAATACGTACCCGTCTACGGCCTTGTAGAAGAGTTTTATCATTATCCAACTTACAAAAACGAGTGTGTGCACTTATGTACTTACGTAAGAAGTTAAACTTCTTTGGCGTAACAAAACAGCATGACTGTTTGACACATTACTAAAATATCGACTGTCATAATGTTGTTCATTGAAAATGTAGCAATTATAAACATGTTGCTGAACGCGCAAAGCGATAATTCAATCACATTTTGTTTTCCTAAAGAAGGTTTTTCTTCAAAAGAACGACCGCTTTTAAAGAAGTACTTCGATTTTTTTGTACATATTCTAATTTGGCTTGATAATATTATATACCTACCTAATTCTTTGCAAATTTTATTACAGCGGAATGAGAGTAATTTGTGAGATTATAGTGTTAACTTTTAGATACATTTAAGAATCACTGCGCATAAACTAACGTTGTTTTTCTAACAGGACAGATGAATTGAACCCAGACGCATTGGAACGCCATTGGAACACAAACTGATTAATGAATTTTGTATCAAATTACGAAGACAAATCGATGTCCTTTCTCACTTTGACTCGTTTATTTCGTAGCAAGTTAAGTCAACATCCGAATACACTCCAAGATACTTGAACAATAAAATTAATCAATGCACTCGTATAAATGTCATAAAGTTCAGTAGCAATCCCTAACGAGAAACTTTTTCTTTATTAAATCTCACTTTCGTATCTTTTCTGTATTTAAGTTAAATAAAAAATGCTGAACTTAAATGATTGAAGCATCATTATCATCTTCCTGCCCTTATCCCAACCGTAAGCGGTTTTGGCTGTTTTTATATGTCCGGCAGCCTGTCAACTCTCATTGGGGAAAGAAATGGTTGAATCTGAATAAAAAAAATACGTTTAAATTAAATCTTATTGAAATGAAGTTTTACATTGATTTCAGAAACATATCGTATTGAGTCTTGAAGATCTGTTTTCAGTTTATTCACAATCAACTCTCGAGTATATTGAATTATAAGCGATCGCCCAGGCAATGAGCTATCACGGATCTTATAATAACCAATATCTTAAGTTACCTTTGGGCATCCGCAACGCCATACAGCGGCGGGATTCTGGGACACAATGACTAGATGTTTCGAACGCAAATATACTATATACTATAATACGATTCTTCGTATTGTTTGTTAAAATAGTTGACGTATATTGTGTTACTTTTGGTTGAAAGTCAGATAAATAACATATTCAAGTAATATACTTACGATAAAAATCTTAATATAGCGTAAAGTACTTAAATGAAAATATCTATTCTTCTTCAATCCATAGTTTTTATTTTAAAATACATTTCTTACTAAATTTAATAAGGTTAACATTTAATACAAAAAAAATGTCATTAACAAAACGTACATTACAAAATAGAGTCTATCACGATAACAACATTTAGTAAAGCTAACGCATCAGACAAATAAATAGAAGAGAAAATCACGTTAAATATCTAGAGGGCCGTACATTAATCACGTGAGGCTCGAAAGGAGGGGGGGGAGGGAGGGGGGTTTTGGCAAAAATCACGAAATATAACGAGGGGGAGGGGTGTAGTAAGATATCACGTGTATTTAGTTTTTCATTAAACGTGCGACTTCTAAACCGAAAAGCTGCACGCCGCTTGTCACTGACTCACCGTTACATTTTTATCATGGTCGTTTATTTCAGAATAAAAACTAGATTATGCTTTATACTTGTATTTCTAAAAATTTCAAGATTCTTTAAGGTACTGAGGAATACACGAAATTTGGAGAGGGGGGAGGGGTTAGTCTTACATCTCACCACGTCTCACCAAGGGGAGGAGGGTGGTTAAATAGTGTTAAAAAAGATCACGCGATTAACGGACGGCCCCACAGCTTATTCCGCGACTACGCGGCGTTTTGCAACACGAAGTAGTACGGGGGCTGCAGCCTGTTGACGTCTGGAGTCGCCACGTTCGGCGGCGGCCCGTGCCACTCCAGGCGGTAGTTATCCAACACTCGGACTGCCAGTGACGTCAGCATTTTGGACACCGCGCCGGCGGCGGGGCAGCCCTCGCCGAAGGGCATGGACGCGGCCGGGTGTGCCCTGGACGCGCGCAACGGCCCCCACCCCTCGCCGCACCAGCGCTCCGGTATATAAGCACCCGCCCTGCCCCACTGCTTCTCGTCCTTGCTGCTCACCCCGTGAGCGAGAACTATGTCCACCTGTTGCATGTGAACTTCCCGTCTCAAAGTAAATTTAAGCTGACGATATTTTTTTGAAGTTATCAAGCGAGCGCTTGGTGGTAAGCGATCACCGCCCATGGACTTCAACATTATATATGGGTTATAGCGTTGACCTTGGTGGACCCCGCTTACCTCGCTCACCGGACGAAAAGATGACTCCGTGGCGCACTTGCCAAGGCTATTGGCTTCGACGCCGGCGTCGTGGGTTCGATCCCCACACGGGACAACTATTTGCGTTACCCACTGATATTTGTTTCGGATCTGGGTGTTTGTCCTAACAACACAGGATAATGTTGTCCTACAGTAAGGGCAATGTTTTAAAAAAAATAGAGGAGATTAAACGTGAAAGTATGTGACCTCGTATGAGCCTGCCCATTCGTTCAAAAGCAGAAGTAGCGAGACACCACCATTATAACAAGGCAATATTCTCATACAGTCGTTAAGCGTTAAATAAAGAAAAAGGGAAGAGGAAAACATATGATACGATTTTTAACGGTGGTAGGGGCGCGCAGCAGCCTCGGCTGTTGCACGAATGGGCAGGCTCGTCCGGGTAAGTACCACGACCCCTCAGAAGGCCGGCGTAAAGTGGAAGTACAATACTTTCGCGTTCTGGTGAGTGAGGTGGCCGGAGCCCGATTTTCAAAAAGGTTGTCAACGCATCTGGAACCCTCGGGTGGAGCTGTCCACAGGCGATATTCACCCAACATCAGGTGACCCGTCCGCTCGCTCGGCAGCTTTTCACATAAAAAAAAACACGTCACTCACCCCCGCCGGGACTTCGTATCCGCCCACGACCATCTCCGCCGTGCTCCTTCTCAGCACCCCGCCGGTGACGGGGTGCATTCTCAGCGCCTCCCTCGCGCAGGCGGATATGAAGGGCATATCCGTGCAGCTGGCGCCGGCGTCCCTGGACGCCACCGACCAGGCCACCTCGTCGTGGGCGCGCTGCTGCCGCGCCGCGTTCAGCGACAGCTGGTAGAACATGCCGAGCGCGGTCTGCGCCAGCTGGAGGGGGCGGCGATTAATATTTTTAATAATTTAATCTATCTATCTATCTTTTTCAATCCATCCAAAGGTTGCCTGGAAGAAATTACTCGTAGTAATAAGGCCACCCATTGTACCCATTACTTCTACATTAAGTTTTAATTTTTGTTGGTTTTATTTTTGGTGTGCAATAAAGTATATTCATTCATTCATTCATTCATTCATTCATTCATCTATCTTATATATCTATTTAAGCTTTTAAACATTTGAATAACCCATTGGCGTAGTGGGTGGTGACCCTGACTCTTGATTTAATTGCCATTTATTTAATATATTATTTTATAAGCATAATTTTTTAAATAATATTAATATTCTGCACTCTTTTTCTCTATATAAACTACTAGCTGTGCTTGCAACTTCGTCCGTGTGGAATTTAAAATTAAAAAAATCTCGAATAAAAGTAGCCTAAGTTACTCCTTATTACATCAGCTATCTGCCAGTGAAAGTAAAGTACAAATCGGTCCAGCCATTTCAGAGATTAGCCGGAACAAACAAACAGACAGACAGACAAAAATTGTAAAAAATGTTATATTGGCAGGCGAAACTAGAATATGTGAATATGTCTTTAATCTGACATTCAAAAGGTCATAATTAAGATTAAAGAAATTATAAGCTAAGATTATTTTTTATATTCATATATTATTTATATTTATGCATAAATTATTTATACATAATAACTACAGCTAAGATGATTTATGCTTTTATGGTTGTTGTAATACACTTACTGGATCGACGCCGGCAAGAAGTATGTCGGCCACCAAGGGCAGGACACGGTTTTGAAGCGGCCTTAACTTATCCACTAGGATTTGTTCTGGCCTTAAATTGTTAGTGTTCAAAGACTGCACGGCTTGGAGTAGGAAATGCTCGGTCAGACTGTAAATTCAGTAACATATGATAATGGTATTCCAATCATTTTATTTTATTCATCTCTGCAATTTTACGATTATAATGTATATTATTGTTTGAATATTTAATGTAATCGCACAATTCAATACACAATGGATATGGACAAATGTCATTACTAATTCTGAATATTTTATACCAATTTGATACAATTTAGCTCAGTCCGGGCCCTCGCTTTTAGTTCAATATACTCTAACAACCTGAGTTCAGTTCCCGAGACGGGCACCAATGAAATTGTTAATTTTAATTGCTGATTTATCACGTGTTCAACGGTGAAAGAAAACATCGCGAGGAAACTTGCATGTGCGTAGCCGTTGACAAATGTGACAGTTTACTCCCACTGAAATTAGTGACGACAATTCGCACCTTTAGAATTATAGTGGCCTATTTAAAAATGACAATTTTTGGGAAACGTATAATAAGGATTTGTGGAACTTATGAACAAACGCGCTAATTGGGGGGAAGTGAAGGAGACAGAAGTATACGTTATAAAGCTTTCTAAAATCGGCCCATGTTTTAATAGGATTCGAAAAAGGTGGTCGTTTCCATAAATCTAAAGTCATGATTTTCATAATTAGGTCCCTTTAATTCTAAAGGTGCGAATTTGTCTTATCGTTCTCATACCTGTAATGATCGTCAAAGGTCTTCAAGGCCCTCCTGAAAGTCTCGGAGTGTTTGTTCAGCGTATCTTCGCTCCTCACGAGGAAGCCGCCATTGGCTATTTCTAAGGTTATTCGCACCAAACGCTCGGCAGGTGTGAGCTCCTCGATGCGGCGTTTTGACAGAGAGCACGTTTCCGGGATGTCGTCGTCCAACGAGGTCATTTCCCTGGGCCTGTGTTTAAAACCCTGGATTAACTAAAGCATATACTATATCGGTAGTTAATGATAAATTTTCAAAGCCGTCATATATGAATGAAGTGTTGAAAACACATCTAAGAAGTCATTTTAATGCAACGGTAATATTTAATATAGCCCCTGCACTTAAAAATGTGTGGAGCGTAAAACTGTTGCCAAATTTTATTTTTTACCAGGATTCGAACTTGCGCCTTCAGAATGACGCGTCCACGTTCTATTCGCTAAGCTAGGCGGTCGACATCCTCATCGTGCGAAAATTCAACGTGTTTATAATAATTAATTTTTATAGCATTTTGGCAAAAATCTTATTTCATTAATTTACAGCAATCACAATTTCAGCAATCGTTCTTAATAGGTACTTTAAAATTATTAAAATTCTTATAAAAACTACGTAAAGATTGTCGCCGCTGTGGGAATTGATCCCAAGTTTTCGGTATTCGCGGCCTTTAGCCACTAAGCTAAACGGCTGTTGACCACACCGACGAAAATGTTAACGTCTTTTATCTTCATTGCTTTTCAGCATTTGAAGCAATGCTTGGCGCATCCATTGTTATATCCTTTCCAGCACACGATCAAACAAACATCTTAAGTGCAGAGAATGGCACTATAAAGAAATTAAAAAGGTACTTTAAAATTCAGTTTAATTGAAATTGAGGACAAGGCTGTATTCTTATCGCAAAGGGCCCTTGTTTAGAATTTATACGACAAACGCTGAAACTTCAATACGCAGTGTTTGCTACATCCAGCTGCAGTGGTTATGGCTATATCGAACCTGTTTTCGTCGGTGGGGAGGTGCGCTGGCCCGTCCAGACAGCCCAAGCGGCCGCCGAAGACCATGACACCAATGGTCTCGAGGGCCCATCGGTAGACCTCGGTCGAGATCTCCTCGTTAAGCGCGTTCTCCGCGAAACGAAGCTCACCGAGCCTATAGTAGTAGAAATTTTGTCATTATTCTCCCTCGGCGTGAAAAGGCAATCAAACAGGCCGTCCACCTTGTTCAATGATCACTGGTGGGGAATCTTAATGGGTTAGAGAAGCGATGCCAACCTTTGTAAATGGTTATCTAGCATGGAAGTCCGGTGACCTAGCCCATGAAACGTGAGTAAAGTAAAACGCCTATACATATCCCACAGCTGGGAAAAGGCTTCCTCAGTATAGAGGTTATAGAGGCATGGCCCACTACGCGGCACCACTGCGGATTGGTGGAATTCACATATCTTCGATTTTTTTTGTTTCGAAAGTATGGAGACTTCCTCACGATTTTTTCCTTCACCGCTGAATAGGTGATAAGACAGCACTTAAAATTAACAATTTTATTGGTGGATCGGGGATCGAACTCAGGTTGCTCGAGTATATTGAATGAAAGGCGAGCGCCCGTACACTGAGCTATCATGGCTTTATGAAACGCGAAAGTATGATATTTCCACTTCACGGCGGTCTTCTCTAAGGTCGTCCCCAGAAGGGCCTATTCTTGCAACAGCAAAAGCTGTTTGCAGTTACCAATAATAAATGAAGACGATTATGATGTATGTCCCTGAGTGCTGTAGTATACATATAAAGGTATACGATATGCGTAGTGGAAAGGTATTGGAAGTAGGCCAAAAGTATTTTCGAAAATATGCTTCGATCGGAGAATAGAAACCAATTTCACCAAAAATTGCGAGCCATAGAATGCTGCGTGGTTAAGACTCTGCATTTGTTTTGTTCAAAATCAGGGCAGGAAGATGACTTTATAATTTTTATTAAGAAAGTCATAGTTTATTATCTTGAAAACCTAAACAACTTACAGGTAACTTAACAGTTGATAATTTTTCGACACCAAACTATTAGCAATGATTAATATGATTGTCCACTGTACCTTCGGGTGAAGTCTGCGGCTATATCATCAAATGCCTTATCGAAACTCTTCTGTAAAGTGCCGTCAAGAAGGAGTGTTCGAATTGCTGCCCATATTTCTTTCCTTTGGTCGCTGTAAAGAAAAATTTATGATAATGTCACGAATGTCGGACATAGTAACAAGGAGATTCTACGACTTCTTCAGTACAAAAGTAAATATCATGTATTTATGTATTACGGCGATAATTAAAACCCTTAAGTTTACTGAACAACTCAGAATCTAACAAGTACTATTTATTACTTTAGTTACAAAGTTAAATTGGGTATGAGGGTAGCTTTCATTTGATGATGCTTTATTGTACCCAAAAATAAAGAAAACAGAGATAACAAAGCTAGTCTCAGGCGACAATTTTTGCGATAGATCTACGTATTTTTACGATTCAGCATAAGTGTGTGACTTCGTGGCGCAGTTGCCAAGGTGTTGTCTTTGGCGCCGGGGGTTGTGGGTTCGACTCTCACACGTGAAAACTATTTGTGTGACCACGGACAATATTTTCGGATCTGGGTGTTTCTCCTCGTTAAATTTATGTATGTAAAAAGTCCGTACAACACAGTATGATGTTATCATGTCGTAAAGTCAATGTTTTCTAAAAAAAAAGAAAAAAAAAAAGGTGCAGACTAGAAATTAAAAAACAAATAAAACTTTTTTTTTTTAAATTTGATAGCAAAATGTGAGGCTTATAAACATTTCTTCCTCAATACAAGTTGTTTATGGCACAGGATGCGGTATAAATTAAGTTGAGGTTCCGCAGTGCATTTACTTCTAAAGCACGTTTGCCATTTACTGGTACGAGGTTGTTATATTTAAGGCCCTGTAACGAAACGTACTTATGTTTAGATCGTGTACTGCATTTATAAAGAAGACAGTTCTATGTAGGACCTATTAAATCACTGCAGCGGATCGCGCTTAAAAATACGCTACATACTATATATCATAAACAACTTCAGTTAATGTTCATTTATAACAAATCACTAAAAATGCCGAGGAGACTTCAATATAAGTCCCGGCACTTTAATTTAGTAAGACACAGTTTTAATTTCAAACAGTAAGCGAAGTTTAAAAAAAAAGAAGAATTTGAAATCTGCAAATCGGCAATGGAACTTGAAACCCAACCCACGTTGCCCAACCGGCTTGAACATTTTTTGTAGGCTTTTACTGTAATTATAAAACTACAGGAAGATCTCCAATGTAGTCACATCAAAATAAAACCGTTTAAAAACTTTTAAGTTAAACGGTTTTATTTTATGTTTTTTTTTTGTGCACTGAAAACTACAATATTGTATTGTCATCTAAATTAAATGTGTACCAAATTTCAGATCAATCTGACAACGGGAAGGTGCTTAAATTTCAATTTCTAATTTTGACCCAAATAAATAAACAAACAAATTCCGTACGTGTCGAGCTAAATAAAACCGTTTAAAAATAATATGTGTATAACTTGCTGCCCGGGTAGACTTCTTTTTTTATAGTATTAAATCCTCCCGCAGACTTTAAGGAACATACAAAAAATAAATTAGCCGAATTGATCCAACCATTCTTGAGTTATGTGCTTACCAACATTCATTTTTAAACGGTTTTATTTAGCTCGACCCGTACGGAATTTGTTTGTTTATTTATTTGGGTCAAAATTAGAAATTGAAATTTAAGCACCTTCCCGTTCTCAGATTGATCTGAAATTTGGTACACACATTTAATTTAGATGACAATACAATATTAACAAAAAAAAATTTAACAAAAAAAAACATAAAATAAAACCGTTTAACTTAAAATTTTTTAAAGTAATTATTTAGCTCGACCCGTACGGAATTTGTTTATTTATTTGGGTCAAAATTAGAAATTGAAATTTAAGCACCTTCCCGTTGTCAGATTGATCTGAAATTTGGTACACACATTTAATTTAGATGACAATACAATATTAACAAAAAAAAATTTAACAAAAAAAAAACATAAAATAAAAACGTTTAACTTAAAATTTTTTAAAGTAATTATTTAGCTCGACCCGTACGGAATTTGTTTATTTATTTGGGTCAAAATTAGAAATTGAAATTTAAGCACCTTGCCGTTGTCAGATTGATCTGAAATTTGGTACACACATTTAATTTAGATGACAATACAATATTAACAAAAAAAAATTTAACACAAAAAAAAACATAAAATAAAACCGTTTAACTGAAAAGTTTTTAAAAGTAATTATTATTATTTATATAGATTGAATAAAATACAAATAAATTTGCTAAAGGCGAAACAATGATTGTGTTTTTGAGAATACATATATAAGAAACCTTTCAAATATTGTTTAATACGGTTGTATTAGACAATTTCAATTATAGCGATTGTCAATTTAAACTCAATCTATACCCATTGCGAGGTAAAATAATGGTGTGCAAGAACGGCAAACGACCTCTGGCGACATTTACCCTTGGAATGTGCTTTGGTTGGTTGTCGTTTTCCGCTGCTCGTAAAGAGGCGAACGCTCCCATTGCGGTGGCTCCGTCAACTTGCTGTCGTACACCTGAAGCGAAGAAGAGACACTCTGTAGTGTGCCTAGTATGTCTAGTATATTTTTTACGCGAGAAGGTGGCAAGAACGCTGACAGTTACTCTGATGTTATGTGATAACCGCTACTCATCAGAAGATACACTGAAGTATAACGCTTTCACTTTAACCCGGTCTTCTGCTAGGTCGCGGTACCTATGGGACCTGCCACTTAACATGAGCGGCGGCGATCCCTTAACATCAGGTGAACCGCTTGCTAGTTCATCGCCTTATCTATCTAGCTAAAATTCACATACTTTATTTTTTTATGTTAAAAGTCGTCAAGCGAGCAGACGGTTCACCTGATGTTAAGGGATTACCGCCGCCCATATAAATTTGCTACACGCGAGGGTTGCAGATGCATTGACAACCTTTTGTAAATTGGGCTCCGGCCACCTCACTCATCAGACGAAATACGAAAGTATTATACTTCCACTTTACGCCGGTCTTCTGTGAGCTCGTGGTACTTACCCGGACTGCCTGCCCATTCGTACAACAGCCGTGGCCCTACCACCGTAGAATAAATACGTTGTTACTTTTAATTGCCACACACACACGGGTCTTCTACTCGGCCTTGAAAGGCCGGCAGGTGCGGGTGTCGAGATATTTCTCATGACCCGGGCTTCTTCTCTGGGGCCTCTCTGTGCCCCCGGTATTTTGGGCCAAAATGGCCAGATGGTATATGTGTTGTTATGTCGCCATAAAAATGGCGCAACACTGTTTGGAGGTAATTGCTACTTTGTTATGCGCCGTGATGCTCGGTGAGTAGCATGGATAGCGTGTGTAAGGTTGCACTTATCGGTGATTGCCCCGATGCCATTGCGGCTATGATGGTTGTAAGTGCATCCGCCAGTATGCGGATCAATTGCTGGAGTGATTCTGTGAATTCTTCCACAGTTCTAGGGGCTTCATTGTTTTGGCGGCTTTCTTGAAGGCGAAGAGGGCGACGACTAGGCGCTGTCTCCGACCTTTGTTCGACGTTTGTTTGACGGCTTCTTTGTTGGGGGGGGGGGGGGGGGGGGGGGGGGCGGTGAGGTAACGTCGTCTCCGTCCCCGTATTGGTGGCTTGGTGATCGTCTTGATCGTCCTGTGATGAGGCCGCGGGTGCATCACGTCCGCGGCGTCTTCTACGATGGCTTCTAATTCTACTAGTGGCAGGGTTGGCTGGTGGCTGGAGCGTAGTGACTATTGTAGTCGGTCTTGATAGGGTGGCTGCAGTGGAGGCGGCGCCGGCGACGACTGTAGAATGCGGGCGCACGCCCTCTTGTATCTTGTATTAACTGATGTTTTTGCTTTCAGTCCCGAGACTATTAAAGCTTCATCGGACGCAGAACCGGTGGGCTAGCCAGAACCCACGGGTTTGGACCCTCCGCTATGGGTAGGGTCGCGCATGTGCTCATGCGTGCGTTTAACTACTATGGTGTGTCATCTAAGGGCCGTCGAGGTCGCCGGTTCGGACCGAGACCCCGACGGCCGTCGACTGTGCATTTAGCTAATCGGTGGCTGGGAGCGGTGAGAACCGCCCCGGAACGCGGGTGTACCTTGTGTACGCGTTGTGTGGGTCTCGCCGTGCTCGGAGGCGAGGGCGAACTGGTGTGATTGTTGTTACACTAACTGTGGGTGTAGTGTTATCCGGCGGGACCCCCGGCGGTGGGTCCATCGTGTCTAAGTCCTCTTCGTCGACCGGGTCGATGAGGACGTTTCGCGGGCGACGCTTGTTAACGTTCGCGTTAGTGTCCGGTAGGTAGTTTGCTGCGCTTACCACCAGAGGGTTGGGATGATGCTGGGCTCTATCGAAGAACCGTTTTGTCAAATCTTTAAAATGAGCGCGAATCGTCGGGAGTCTGCAATCGCTGTGCAGGTCGACGTTGCGCTGATACCATTGCGCACCGGTTGCGCGGCGGATAAACTTACTTTGGACTACTTGCAATTCGTCAATGCGCGTAGGATTTATGTGTGCGAAGATCATGCATGCGTAGGACATGATTGGCCTTACGCAAGCTTTATATAACAATAATTTGTGCCTTAAGGGCATTTTACTATGTTTGTTCGTTAAATTGTGTAGCCGGCCGGAGACGAACGCGGCTTTGTTTCGGACTTGATTGATGTGCGTAGTGAAAGTCATACGCGAGTCGAAAGTGACTCCTAGATATTTGACCGTTTTCTCCCAGGGGAGAGTTTGGCCGTATAGTGATATTTGCCCCAACTTTCTGTACTGGCGAGGACCTTTGTAACGGTGTGGCGGATGGGGGTTGGGGGTGCTACGGGTGAAGTGAATCGCCACACTTTTCTCTGGGTTAATATCGATTCTCCATTTGCGGAACCAATCGCCGAGGCGGTCGGCGGCGCTTTGGAGTCGAGTCGTTAATTGGCTGAGGTTGCGATCTGAGTAAAAGAGCGCCGTGTCATCCGCGAAAAGCGCGAGATTGACGTGGGGGTCTCTGGGTATGTCGCTCGTGTAGAGCGTAAATAACAGGGGTGAGAGGCAGGAGCCTTGTGGTACGCCGGCCGTGAGGCGGCGGCTTGTGGAGAGGGTGCCCTCGACTCGATATCGAAAAGAGCGGTTCAACAAAAAGGCCCGGATGGTGTGTACGAGCCTATCTGGCACTTTGAGTGTGTACAGCTTGTAAAGCAAGCCGTTGTGCCAGACCTTGTCGAATGCCTTTGCGACATCGAAGAAAAGAGCCCCTGTACTGAGATGTTTCGGGTGGTTTAGGCCTTTTAGGATGTGCTCCGTTAGGCGGTATAACTGATCTGGACAGGAGTGTCTAGCTCGAAAGCCGAATTGTTCCGTCGGCAGAAGGCCGTTGGAAAATACGTGCTCTTTGAGCCTGTTTAACAAAAGCCGCTCGTAGAGCTTCCCCAGACAACTGAGGAGGCTGATGGGACGATAGCTAGAGGGCTTATTGGCTGGTTTATTCGGCTTGCGAATGCCGATAACCGTGGCTTGCTTCCAGTCGTCCGGAAAGGAGCAACTGGAGAGAAGCGTATTGAAAATTGTCGCCAGTAAACAGATAAGCGGCCCAGGGAGAGCTTTTAGAATCTTATTACTTATATTATCTGGGCCCGGGGCGGATTTCGGTTTTAAATTTTTAATTATATCTTGGACCTCTTCGGGGGTCACTGAATTTAGAGGTTCGCCTTCCGGTGGAAGCGCAGCCCTAGTCTCGATTAAGCGGTCCACCTCCGTTAGGTGGGCCGAATCGGTGTGTTCGCGCGATGGCGTACATTGCTGCTCTAGGTTGTCCGCAAGGCATTCGGCTTTTTCGGAGTCATCTAGGGCTACTGAAGCGCTATTAGAACTAACTAACGGCGGTAGAGATTCGCGGGGGTCTGCTTTCAGACTGCGGGCCAACCGCCAGTAGGCGGTGTGCGATGGCTCGATGTCCTCTAGGAGAGTGTCCCACGTTGTATGTCGGTGTTCCGATACACGATCTTTGACTTCTAGCTGAAGGCGTCGAAGTAGAGTACGGTTCGATTCCGATCGGTATCGGTCGAAGGCGCGTTTAGCTGCATTTTTTTGTCTAATTAGCAGTCGTGGGTCGGGCGGAAAGTTAAACCGTCGGTCGCCCGACAGTTTCACCGTCCGTTCCGAGTCTGTGACTGCGGAAGTAATGGTTTCACGGAGACTCGCTATCGCTCGATTTGCGTCATCGAACGTAGCTATCGTCTCGGGTAAGTCTACTAAGTTCTGGGGGTCCAAGGCCTTGAGTTTGACCTCAAGACGATGCCAGTCCACTACGGATTTGGTCGGAGGGACCGCGCCGGCGTTCTGGCCCAGTTTACACAGGACGGGCCTGTGGTCTGAGTCTAGTTCATGGATTGTCTCTATCGACTCGATGTCGAGCGAGACCTCCCTGAATAACATTATGTCTAGGACACTCGGTGACGCGTGCTGGTAGTTGTCCACCGTAGGATACCTAGTGGGAGTCGCGGGAGCGACTATGCTGAAATTTAGGTTATCGGATAAGCTAAAGAGATGCTTTCCGTTGTTGTTTGGGATGCTGTTAATGTCCCATGAGCCGTGTTTGCAGTTTAGATCTCCTGCAATTATCACGGAAGGGCCTAAGTTTAGAAGCGTATCTAGGTCGCTTTGGAGGAGGGTTCTATTCCCCGAGAGGTAGGCTGAGACTAGTACAAGCGGCCTGTGGCCGGTGAGCGCTAACCTACACGCGGATGCCTCTATTTGACTTAGCTCTGGAATGTCGAGCGGGCAACAGTGCAAGGACCGTTTATAATAAATTAGTGTGCCTCCCAGACGGTTTGCTAACCGATCGTGGCGGACAATATTGTAATTTGCGATTCTGGGATCGCGTACGCTAGGCTTCAAGAATGTCTCTTGCACTAGAAAAATGTCTACATTATAATCGCGAAGGAATTCCGCGATTTCATCCCTTTGACCCTTTATGCCGTTTGCGTTGAAATACGAAACAACCAGAGCCCGAGGTTTTGTTTTACCTGCGGTTGTACTTCCCATTAAAGGTGCCTTTATGGGTCTAATTTAACGACGCGGCGGAGCGCGGTTTTATTGCGCGGACTATTGATCTTTATGGTTGGCTCGTAAAAGCCCAAAGGGCTTCCACAAGCGTTTTGTGCTGGCTAATTGCCCTAAGACGCTCGTGGCCAGATGTGGCGGCCGCTAATTTAGCGGACAATACGGCGAGTTCCTGTCTATTTATTGTGTCCAATAAACTGCAAATGTTCGCTAATTGCGCGAATGGGTCGTCTTTGTTTTCCGCGAAAACTGACGGAATTGGCTGCACCTGCGGCCGCGGCGCCGTTTGAGAGGCGGGCAGCTGTTTCGCGATCGGTCGTGAGGCGACCGGGATTACGGGCGCGGTTACCTGCGCGGCCACCTGGGGTTTCGCCCAGGCGTTTACGACGGGAACGGGCGCGGGAATGAATTTAACGGGCGCGGGTTTGGGCAACGTCGATTTCGCGGGAGATTTCCTCGCGGGAGTTTTCGGGGCCTTAGCGCAGCCTCTGTAACTAGCCGGATGACCGGTAGTGTGGCAATTTACGCAGTCCGGTGGATCTGCGCAATCTTTCGCCCTCGTGCACTCGGTTGTGCCGTGGTCACCGGTGCATTTGACGCACCTTGGGTGAGCGAAGCAGTTATTGGCCGTGTGGCCCAAAATGTTGGCAGTTGTGGCACTGTGCCACAACACCCGATTTTCGTGGGGGCTCGATGACTAAGTCACTGAGCCCACAGACCCTCTTGAGGTTGAAAATGGCCTTACCTTCCGGGGTAGGGTCAAGTTCCACCATGACCATGTCCATAGGGACACGGGTGCGAGGGTGCCTGAGACGGCGCACGGCGTGTACAGGGTATCCCTGAGTGCGGATGTCGACCTTAGCCATATCGACATCCGACTCTTTTGGGACGCCCTTTATTACGACCCGAAGTTTGCGCTCTTCGGGTAGAGAGTAGGTGTGGAAACCTACCTTAGCTTCGCGCAAGTATTTAGTTGCGCGACGGAAGTCGTCCGAAGAATTGAGGTATACGCGGATACCCATATGCGTATTCTTGGACCGGGGGTCTCGGATGTTGTGGCGTTCAAACCACGAACAAACTTGGTGCCACTTTGCCTTATCTTGTATTATAATAGGTGGCGGTGGCTTAATTTTTCGCTCGGAGGCGAAAGTCGGTTCCGACTGGGCAGACGCGGCTGCCTTTTTGGCGGGCGTCGCGGTGGGACGGTTTGACGGAGCGGCCTCGCTTTCGGGGTCGCTGTCGGTGGCGGGGCGTTTTTCTTGCCCTTTTTCCGCGATTTGACGACGGTGAAGCCGTCGGCGTTCGCGTTATTAGCGGGGGTCGTTTCGACCTCCATGTCTGAGCCGCCGTCCGATTTTGAGTCGGGAACGACAGCGCAGAAGGGGGCCGAGTTGGATTGCGCGGAAGGCGCGTTGAGGTCGATCGCGGCGGCGGAGGTCGACGCGACGGGGGCGTGTTAATTGTCGCAGAGGGCGACACAATAACTGGTGCGGAGGGCACCGGAGATGGCGGCGAGACGGCAGCCGGTGAAGCCGGACTGTCGCTAGCAAATTTTCGACGACGATGCGTCGTTCCCTCGCGAAATTCAAATATCTTGCCCATATTTCGGGGCATTCTTCCCGCAGGAATTCCTCTATGAGGGAACCCATGTCGACGCTTGAGCCTTTGGGGCTTGCGCCCCGCCGGCGTGTGGTTGTCTAAATAGGCCTCCCCACCTTGCGGCAGGGAGGTGTGTGCCTAAAATTAACCTTTAATCGCCTGCGCTTTAGGTGCGCTAGGGTGAGTACCTAGCTGTCGCCTAATGCAACAAGCACACAGATAAAAATTACAATGCCGCCTCTGAGACGAGAAATGTGTGTAGAATTCTACTTACGGACAGGAACCTGCCTACGAGCACAACACTACACTAACACTATCCGCTCGGAAGTCGGTCAAAGTTTCTTCTTTCTTCTGTAACTTTTCTTCTATCTTCTATAATTATTCTTCACTCTTCTTGCTTGAGACTTCCCTAACCGTAGACCGCGAAACACGACAACGATGAGGCAAGCAGCGCACACCGAGATGTAAAGGAGATAATATATATAGCAACAACGGTTGCAAAATGGCTTCCGGGTCGGTTGGCATGGGCCCTCCGGCTCAGATTAACGTCCGTTCCGTGTGGAAGC